TTAAGACTCGGACCACACGTTTTCTGAATAGTTTTTATCCCAGAGCTATAATTGCACTTAATAATGAGCTTAAAGACCACCAGTAGTGAATAGTTAGTTGGACTGTGTTACTTGGCCTGCGGTGTAGATGTTTGTATTTTTAGTGGGGACTTTCAGTGGGTGGGGAGTGTTGGGGGATTTTTTAGTGGGTGGGTTGTGTTTGGGGGATTTTATGTGGGTGCATGTGTCTGGTCTCTGGGTGTCTGTGAATTTCATTGTATGGATATACTGTGTATATACTTGCAATGACAATCCAATCAATCAATCAATCAATCAATCAATCAATCAATCAATCAATCAATCAATCAATCAATCAATCAATCAATCAATCAACCAACCAACCAACCAACCAACCAATCAATAAAGGAAATTCTGAAGGCACAACTACAAACATTCCAACAAGAAAAAATCAGAAAAGAGCAAAAATACCAATGTGACTTCATAAAAAGATCTGAAAGGACCCGAAAACAAAAAAGGACATATACTAGGAAGCGGAAGGAAGGCCAGGTCACAAAGGAAGAGTACTGACAGGCACGGCTGTTGCAGGGCTGGCATTAGGAAAGCAAAAGCTAAGAATGAAGTGAAGTTAGCAAGAGATGCTAAAAGCAACAAAAATGCATCAGGTGCACGTGCAACAAAAGACACAGAAAAGAAGTAGTGGCTCATCTACTCAATGCTGATGGCAAAACAGTAACAGATGACAAAGAAAAGGCAGAAGCACTCAGTTGCTACGTTAGATTGGGTTTCTCCCAAAAGTGAGTCTATGATCCCAAGTTCTGGCAAATGTATTCAATTATAATACATGAAGATATCTCGCAATAAATATCATAAAACAGACAAAAACTGTCCCTAGTTAAAAGCTATCTTAAATAAATCAAACAAATTAAACAGATTTGAGCATCTCAGGTGGTAAGGCAGTAATAAAAGGCACCTTTGAATAATGTTTTTACTAATTTCTTAAAAACCAAGAGGGAAGGTGCCTGACAAGCCTCTGCTGAGAGCTTGTTGCAAAGAGAAGGGACCAGAACTGAAAAAGCACTGCTCCTAGTGTTAATTATCTTAGCCTCCTTTGGTGTCACAATTTTATAGCATCACAGACTGTAAGGAGTGTGGGTAGCTCTTTTGTGGGAGAGGCATTCCAACAGATATCGAGGTCCTAAACTGTTAAGGATTTTATAGGTTATGACCTTGAATTTGGCAGGGAAACTAACAAAGAGCCAATGAAGGCATGCCAAGATTGGAAATGCGTGTTCATATCTGCTGATATCTGTGATCAGTCTGGCTACCATATTTTGGACCTGCTGAAGCTTCAACAGCAACTTCAAAGACAGCCCTGTGTAGAGAGCATCACAGTGGTCTACTTTAGAAATAGTCAAGGAATACCTTATTATTTTCACTGAGTTAAAATCTCCAGGGCTGGATGAATTGGGTCCAAGAGTACTGATGGAACAGGCTGGTGAAATGCCAGAGGACTGGATGAGGGCTACTGCTGATCAAAAAAGGTAAAAAGGAGGAACCTGGGAACTACAGACCAGTCAGTCTCATATCAAGTGCTTGTGCTTACACTGTAAATATCACACGAAGAGGAAAATGCTGCACTGGAGCCACTAAATAACCACAATCACCCACACATACATATCATTATGTAAAACATTTCTGGCAAGGCACTTAAGAGTTGCCATAAACAAATCCTGTTGCTTTTAATTTCTAATATTTCCCTACATTTAAAATACATTTGTTTGAGTGCAACTTATTCTAGCAGTATTGCCCTGTTCACTTTCCACTGTAAATATAAATTTACTTTTTCACCCACTTAAGTTAATTTTTTACCTAATATCAGAGAGCTGTAGCTGGTCAGAGAGTTCATCCTTCAAACGCTCTAATTCTTTTCTCAGTGGTAAGCTATCCTTCAGCTTTTTTCCTGCACTCTTCACATTATTATCTAACCAGGAACTAGAAACATAAAATAAAAACAATATGGATTACCAAAACATCTTAGAATTAACAATACTACTGTGCATGAAGATTAAAGTGCTATTTTAAAGACTATATAATTAAAAATGCTCAAATATACCAAGCACCAGTCAAAATCCTATTGCAAAATACTGTATACATAACACCAGGGTTCTCAAAATTAGTCAGCTGGCAGGTGCATCTACCTGTGCCACTGATAGTGTGCCCCGCTGCACAGTTGGAGGATTATAAGGGATGCGACAGCTAGCAATCTTATATCTGTTACTTGTGTTATTGCTGTTACATGATTGCACACAGCAAAAGGATTTTGGGTATGCAAGTGAAGGAAATAACATTAGGAGAAGCTGAGAAGACTGCAAATAACAGCCCATAAACAAGAGACCTGCAAGAAAATATTGTAGTGGTTTTTGTGTTTCAGCCAGCCAGGCTGTGATACCTTCCAGGGTATTCCATTCCACTTCCACATTGTCTCTGCAATAGCCAGCCAGTTTTATGTTTCTACTGAGCATGCTCATTCAGTCCTAACTGGAATATTTTTTGGCTTTCCCCTTTTAGGGGTTTTGCATGCCAACAAAAGCTGAGGTTACCCTATTTCTCTTGATCCCTCCCTTTTTTTGCACAGATGATGCTGTTCTGGATACATAAAAGATTCACACAAGGTAACATACTTACTGTTAACATGCAAAAGGCTTTGGGGATGTGTGTCTCCACAAATGATGTTGGACTGAAACATTCATCATCTTTCACCATGTCACTGCTAGCTATGGATGACATGAGGTGTAGTCCATCATCTGGTGGGCCGCATGTTCCCCATCTCCAAGATGAATAATTTCTATGGCTTCAATTTTTAAAAGCTGGAACTGGCTTTCATCTAGCAACAGCTGGCAAATGCCCTTCTTCTTTCAGTCGATTACAGTGCTCTCCAAAACTGGCAGCACTCCCAGAAGTAAGGGGTTTGGAACAAGACTCTTCTCACATAGAAACCAGGAGTACCATCCTTTATGAACAGAGTCTGAAGGATACATGCCTACATAATGGCAACTACAGAAAGACAGGAGTGTGCTTGTTGGGCAAAATGTTTATATGCAGCTAAACTAACACTTTTCAAAGCACTAGTAGCAGACGGTTCATTCAAAGAAGAAGTCTCTGAGCAGACAGGAAGATTCTATGAACAGTGGTTTTTACCCATCCACTCATTTTCATGACTGCTTTATGCTTAAGTGTACAATGAGAGGCAGCTGTGGCAAAGTGTGTACTGTGTTTAAACACAAGTGAATTACTGGAGAACCTCTACGTTCAGAGCAAATCACCACATTAAAAAAACTGAGAAACACTGATCTAAAAATAAGCAACCTACAGTACTTCTGGTGGCTTTCTAATCTGCTATTGTGGTTGAGATTTTCACCTATTTCCTAGACGATGACACAAACATCCTACTACAAACTATTAAACAGTTGCTTCTAACACTTTTGGACCAGTGAGTACATTTGGAAATTTGAGAGCACATTCAGGTGATATCAGTGAATAGCTGCTGTGACAGGCATGGCCAGAACCACCTCTTTCATAGAAAGCAAGTGACTTTCATTGGAAACCAAATATAAGGAAAAGTCAAATCTCAAGATATCCCCCAATACTCTCCTTTGAAGCAATAATTCTCATGCATAGGGTCATCCACCCTAACACACACATTTCTATTTCAGTGTACAGTTACTGCAAAAAATACGTAATTATCTTAGATTCCTTATATCCTTGTATAAGATTATATCCCATATGCTTACATAAAGTCAATTCTCCCTAGTCCTACCAACTGTCCAGATCTTTTCTCTCCTGTAGCCCTTCAGATGTTGCTGAACTACAGTTCCTACTGGTTCCAGCCAACCTGGCCAACAATGAGGCATCATGAGAGCAGCTGGTCACCAACATCTGAAGACTGAAGGTATTTCTAAAGGCAGATGAAAACATTATATACTACATAGTTTGGTAGGTCTTGAAGTCTTAACAATGTTTCTCTGAACTAATCAAAAAAGTATAAGACTTCATTGTCCAAGCTAAATGTTTCCCCCTCTCTCCATTCAAGTGGGTATCCTAATAAGCTATGGTATTCTGCCCATAGCTGTATGGCTAAGAAGACTACCAGTTACTGTAAAACAACTTTCTGGCCAAATGATTTAAGAATTAATCAACAAAGTCTAAAAAATAAATCTAAGTTTGTTTCATTGTTTACAATGTTAAACCAGATGCAGGAGAGTCAAAATATATATTCAATCATAAAGCAAACGCTTCAAATACTAGTAGTTTCATTTTCTATCTTTGTACAGTGGTGCCTCGACTTACAACAATAATCCGTTCCAGAAGATGGATGTAACTTGAAATGGTTGTACGTTGAAGCACCATTTCCCACAGGAATGCATTGAAATGCAATTAATCTGTTCCGGCTGAAGAAAAAAAATCACCACCCCCCAATGTCTTATGTCTTAAAAAAATCACTGCAAGACTCATAGGAAACGTGATTAATTCCTTCCGGCCAAGGGGGGGGGGGAGAAAAGCAATCAAGCACACAAGACCCATTGGAAATGCACAGAAAACAAACGGAGCAGATTGGAAATGCAAAGAAAATAAAGGAAAAAGCAAGGGAAGCATGCAGGACCCATTGGAAATGGAGAAAAACGCCCCAAAAAGCAACCAAACCCCCCAAGACCCATCGGTAATGGGGGGGCCAAAAAGCAACAAAACCCCCCAAGACCCATCGGAAATGGGAGGGAACCAAAAACAAACACTCCAAGACCCATCACAGCACAGAAACATAATCCCCGCCAGCTTAAAACCACGCTGCAAAAACACCCAGAACAGTTTTTAAAAAGCAAAAAACAGAACCTTACCTTACCAGGCAGCCCGAAACCTCCCTGCAAACACACACACACGCTCACTCAGAAGCAGAAGGAGGCAGTCCCAAGCCTCCTCCGATACACACTCTCTAACTGCTGGGGTGAAAGAGCTACAAAGAAGCAGCCTCATCACCACCTACAGTTAGAAATTTGTTCTTAAGTGGAATCTTCGGTTGCAAGTAGAAGCAAAATTTTGTGGCCAAAGCTGGTCGTAACTCGAAATGGTTGTAAGTAGGGACATTCATAAGTTGAGGCACCACTGCAATTTTCAAATTTCAGGGGGGAAAAAACTTAGGTAGCTTAGGCAGGATCTTTTATCTCAAACCTCTTATGTTAGCATGAATAAGTGCTCTCCAAATTTTTTGAATATTAACACCCACAACTCAACCAATAGTCATGTTGGCTGCGATACCTGCCAGTGGAGAAGATAATATTGAGGTAAATACACCAATGGTATATTTTATATCTCATACCTCAGGGTAGTTTCCATACGCTGGGCCTGCTCCAGTTCTTCCTCAGGATCCTTGAATCCAGTAAAAGAGTAGTAAGTTTTATCCCATTTGATGGGTCTGGGAAATGGTTTTTGGACGCCCTGGTTAGATTGAGTATCCACATTGCTGTTCAAGCTTTGGACATGCTCGGTAGATAAGCTACAGGAGTTCAAGATGTCTAATACTGTGCTTAGTAGGTCCCTGGTACGTAGAGTGAAACTCACTGCTCTAAATCCTGCAAAAGGCAACCCCCAAACAAAGTAATATTTAGCAGAATGTATTTATGTTTCTTTTATGATCAACTTACAAACAGGATGCAAATTAATTTCCTAGTCAATTTTAGTTAAGCCTACAGTACTACTTAGACTTGTACTGTTATTAAATGATTTGATTTCAACCAACATTGCTTTCCGACTCACATTTATGGTAAGTCCTAGTGTACCATGATTGATACAATCTGAAACAATTCTTAAGAAACAGAGCACACAAACATACACAAAGGCAGCTAAAGAACAGAAAAGGCCTCTATCCGAGTGAGAAAACAGGTGTGATCTCTTCTCGCTTCCCCTAATGGAGCACCATGCTGCTGTGACTTCCCACAACCTGTTTCAGCCTCCCGGCATGCCCCAGCATGGTTTCTGGCCACAACATAAAGCTGCCTTGCCAGGAAATGGGGCTGGCCAGGCTGCTGCCATTGGACTGGGGGCCACCATACGACCAACAACAGGGTCCTTGTTAAGTCAGGCTACTTCTTGGAGACAAACAGTAGCACAGTACTGTATTTACTGAATATTCATTTATTTACTTAATTACTTAGTGAAATATTTAATTTATTGAAAAAAATCTGTGCATAACCAAAACTGTGCTGTTTAAACCCATACAATTCAAGGGAGAAGTGTAGTTAAGACGTCACGCTAGAGATGTGAAGAGATTTTTTTAAAAACTGCTGACTTTTTAGGTAAAGGTTCCCCTTGACAATTTGTCTACTCGTGTCCAACTCTAGGCGGCAGTGCTCATCTCCATTTCCAACCTATAGAGGTAGCGTTCTGTTTGCAGACAATTCTCCGTGGTCATATGGCCAGTGTGACTACACACAAAATGCCATTTACCTTCCCACCGAGGTGGTACCTATTTATCTACTCACATTTTTGCATTTTGCATACTTTCGAACCGCTAGGTTGGCGGGAGCTGGGACAAGCGACGGGGGCTCACTCCGTCGCGTGGATTCAATCTTACGACTGCAGGTCTTCTGACCTTGCAGCACAGAGGCTTCAGCGGTTTAACCCACAGCACCACCACGTCTGACTTTTTAAATAGCGGCAATCCGGTGCCTGATGATTTTACACCAATGGGTGTAAGTTAACAGGATTGTGGCCGCTGAAATATTTACTGATATTTATTAAAGACCCAAGCATGCAAAACAAATACAAAGAGACAGATGTAACCAGTGTAGCCATCACACTGGATCATCATCATCATGTGCCATCAAGTCAATTCTGACTTATGACAGCCCTTTTTTCCAGGTAGAAAACACTCAGATGTGGTTTACCATTCCCCCCTTTTGGGGGCATCCTGGGACACTGCAGCTTGCCCAAGGCCACACAGGCTGGCTCTTCTCTGTGCCTCTTCTATGGAGGCACAGCGGGGAATCTAATTCCCAACCTCTGGCATTACAACTAGATACCAAAACCATTGAGTTACCCAGCTAGCTGTCACACTGCATATCCTCCTCTAAAATTACTTCTCTCATAGTAAACAAATACAGTGGTGCCTCGCATTACGATGTTAATTAGTTCCAGTGAAATGCTGTAGAACGAAAACGTCGTAATGCGAAATTAAAAAGCCCATAGAAATGCATTAAAACCCGATTAATGCGTTCCTAGGGGCTTGAAACTCACCGTCCAGTGAAGATCCTCCATAGGGCGAGGAATCTGTCCCAGAAAAGAGCGGGGAGCCATTTTTTTTACCCGGCGGCCATTTTGAAACCGCCAATCAGCTGTTTTAAAATTGTCGTTTTGCGAGAATCGGTTCCCGTAACAGGGAACCGATCATAGCAAAGCAAAATTCCCCCACTGAAACCATCGTAAAGCGATCACTTTTGCAATCGCAAAAAGTTCATCGTAATGCGGTTTTGTCGTTAAACGGAGCGCCCGTCTTGCGAGGCACCACTGTATCTGATTTTTTGCAATTCTCAATTTCCTTTGAAAATGTTTTGTACACTAACAGTTCATTACAGGTAATATAGGAAGGAGAGAAATATGTATTTCTTTCCAGTCCCTACTTCCCCAGTTAAGCAACTATTCACTTAACAGACCGCACAGACAACCAAACATACACCTTTAATCTCAAACTGTTTTTTCACATTAAGCAAAACACTAAGCAGTTTTATGTACAATACGTAGCAAAACAGAAAGTAATGGTATTTCTTCAGCATACACAAATAAATCTGATCACTGTTTTAAAACTTAATAATGATTTCAACAGTTGTTTATTGTTTAGTCATGTCTGACTCTTTGTGACTCCATGGACCAGAGCACGCCAGAGCCTCCTGTTTTCCACTGCCTCTCGCAGTTGGGTCAAATTCATGTTGGTAGCTTCAATGACACTGTCCAACCATCTCATCCATTTCAACAATACCACAGATTTGATTAAGTTTTAATATTTATAGTTTATTGGGGGTTTCAGTTGTACTTGTTCTTTTTTACTTACATAAGAAGTCATCTTGGGTCCCAGTTCTGGGAGAAATGCACCATAAGAAATGAACAAATTACATAAAACAAAATAAAATAATAACAATCTAATTCAATTTCTTTGAAGTTTTTTCATAAGCATGACTCCGTGACTAATGCCAAGAAACTTCTAATGGCTCTACAAATGCAATACAAGCTCCAGGAATCAGAAATTATTGAAGGGTCACTGCTGAACTTAATTGTGTGTGTGTGATAGAAAGAGAAAATCAAAGTGTAAAAATACCTGATGCTCCAAATGATTCATGGACACTAGAAGGCTTCTGTTCTTTCTCTCGTACGTAAAATGTGAGCTGAGTTGGTCTAAAAGATTTGAAACCAGGTTTCTGGAGGTTCTCCAAATACCCATTTAATCTCTTCAAAGAATTTTCATTGATTTTCTGAAAGTAATCAGCAAACATCCCCAGAGTTATTCATTTCCTTGCATGTTAGAGAAATGATGCACAGATTAACAGTATTTGGACATTGCACCCTTAATTCATTGTATATTTATATACAATATAAACTCTTTTAAACAGTCTTTCTCAATTTCAGAGAGTGTGGCATAGGGCAACCTCTCCCCAGGCTCTTGTCTTCTAAATGTGTAGGACTATAAATTCCATCAACATGGCTCTACCAGCTGCACAAGATGGGACCTATACTCCAATACTTTTAGAGGACATAGGGAAGGCTGGTTTAGACCACTACATTAGGAGTGAGAAGAATGCAGGCTGAAAAATCTTACTCAGCCTAACATTAATCAACAGCACTGTTGTGAGGATATGGGTGGAAGAAGAAGAAATGGTATGTCCGATCTTGAGTTCCTTGGAGGTAAAACAGATTGAAAATGTAATAAACAAATCTCCTGACTTTTCTAGGATCTAGCTAAATACCCAGGAGTTATGAAAATGTATTTTAATAAAATGAGCTGGTCATAGGTTTGAAAAAAAGACAAGAAAACAGTGATTGCCTATTTTTCTACCCTCGGGAACCTTTTCCTCATTGACTGAAATTCTCTTCATGAAGCTTCACTACTTAAGACTGAGGAGATTATTAGTTTAGTTTATTATTATGCGGTCATAGACCCGAAAATACAAAAATAAGCACATTATACAGTGGTGCCCCTCAAGACGATTGCCTCACAGGACGATTAATCCATACAGTGGACCCTCGACTTACAGACGGCTCGACTTACAGACTTTTCGAGTTACAGACTTCTCTGGCTGCAAAATTTAGGTTCAACTTGCAGCCGGAGAATTGACCTACAGACCAGAAAAAAACACCAAAATGGAACAAAAACAGAACAAAAACAGCCGGTTACGGCATTGATCGGTTTTCAATGCTTTGTAGGTCAATGGAGACTCGACCTACAGACTTTTCGACTTGCAGCCACCGTTCCAATACGGATTAATTCCGTAAGTAGAGGGTCCACTGTAATACGATGGCTTTTTGCGATCGCTGTGGCGCTTCGCAAGACGTTGTTTTCTATGGGCGATTTTCACAAGACGATGTTTGGCTTTTTTGCGTGCGGGAGGAAAGCGGAGTTTGTTGGAATCTCTTGCTGGGTGGGCTTGCTGCAGCACTTCAAGTTGCGTGCATGTGTGTATGGATGTTGTATGTGTTCCGCCCTCGGGGAGATTGTAAAGTAGAGGAAGCGTGTGAGAGGGACCGACGTGCCCCCTCTTGCACAAATAAATCCTTGGCTCGGATGGATCAGCTGGCTCTACCGAGGGAAGGTGCCTTCCCCATGAGAGACTGGGGGGGTCCTTCCATAAAGAAAGGTGGCAGGCAGGCGGGTGGGGGGCTGGAAGGGCTGCCGTTGTGGCGGGAGACGCGCTTGCCATTAAAAAGTGTGTTGAGAGGAGGGAAAGCGGTCACCTTTGGAATTGGCTGAAACGGCGTGTGTGGGTTCGTGGTGATCGCGGGGAGGGGCTGGAATGGATCGGTATGTGCTTTTAAGCGCTGCACTTGCGAGGAGAGAGGGGCGGGTGCTGGAGCTGAGCGGGAGCAGTGGGGTGGGGAAAGCACCGGCTGGGGTGGTTGGAGGTGGGGGGAGAGAGAGCCGGGAGGAGGAGGAGAATATCTGGTTCTTGAAAAGCTCCCCGTGCTTCAAAATGTGCCACTGCTTCTGCCTTGTTTGAGCGAGGCTCCTTGTGTGTGTGTGTGTGAGAGAGAGAGAGAGAGCAAGCGGAGGAGAGTGCAGGGAAGGGCGGGAGAACTCTTCCTTGAGTGCTTGCCTCCACACGACCATGGCGTGGCTGAGGGGAAAGGTAGAGAAGGGGCTCCAGCAAGGCGGCGGTGCGGGAACTGCTGCAGGGCTGAGCCAGAAGGATGAGAGGCGGCGGGGTGTGTGCGTGGCTCCTGCTGCTGCTGCTTCTGAGGGGGCTGCGGCAGGGAGCTTGAGCTGCAGCCACTGCCAGCACTTTCCGCAGTTACCGGAGCTTCTTGCCTGGTGATTTTTTTCCCCATTGGAATGCATTAAGTAGATTTCAATGCATTCCAATGGGGAACCGTGTTTCGCAAGACGATGATTTCACAAGACAACTTTTTTCATGGAACGAATTAACATCGTCTTGTGAGGCACCACTGTATAAGATATACAGAATAAGTAAGTTGTTAAAACATATCAGCAGTATAAAACATGAGTCATGTAGTTGTCTTATTATAACATTTTGCGAATTCTTAAAACTGTGAATAAAAACTTAGCCACCGACTGTGTTATTAATTGGTTCTCTCCGGACAGCAAAAGCTTCAGGTAGTCTGTGGGATGTGTACTAGTGCATTTATACATTATTGGGTAGAGGTAATGGTTACATTCAGACCTATATAAGCTACATTCTAAAATGGTGTGTGCCAAGGACTCAACTGTTTGTTCCCCACAGAGGTATATCCTTATAGAGGCAATGGTTACGTTCAGACCTATATAAACTACATTCTAAAATGGTGTGTGCCAAGGACTCTACTGTTTGTTCCCCACAGGGGCATATCTTTTCTCTATAAGGAATGTTATTAAAGCACCCTTTTAACAAGGCTGGGGGAAAGCAGTTAAACCTAGCCCTTGAGAAGACAAAACGATACCTTGGTACTGTGATTTGATATAGATAATTTCCTAACTTGGGAAAGTTAAAATTTAAACTGAAGTACATTGGTGAGCAGGTCCTGTCTGCACAAGCTAGTGAATACTGGAGATCTAATGTTTTTAATGCGTTGTACAATCATTGACTTGGTACTATCATAAGGCTGACTCAGAAAAAAGTCCATAGAGAAGCCTAAAAGATGTAATTTGTCAGTAAATCCCTTATGCCATGAGCTGGCAAAGACATCTTTTTGTAAATAGTATAAATACCCACTGGTTGTGGGAGCATATGCCACCTTCAACCAGAATCGGAATTCATACAGCCAAAAGCTTGGCATTCCACCGATTGAAGGCCAGCCTCCAAACACAAAGCAGCTGAAGAAGCATACCTTGGCATGGCGAGTTACAACGAGTTTGACAGAACACTTTCAACTGAGGGACTGAAACCATTTATCCAAATTGCAATACCATACAGGAGCTGTGCAAGAATTTTGTACTTAACTATTTGTAGAGCAGCAGGGATGAACTGCCCACCCTGGACATAGTGGTATCGTCTACTCCTGGTTAGAGGCAATCGTGATACCTATCTATAAGAAGGGGAATAAAGACGAACCCTCAAATTATAGACCAATTAGCCTTCTGTCAATCGTGGGCAAGCTTTATGCTAGATATCTCAATAATAGATTAATCACATGGATTGAGGAGGAGGATATCTTAGGGAATGAACAGGCTGGTTTTAGGAAGAACCGCTCCACTTTTGACCACTGTATAGTACTGAATTACCTTGCAGAGAAGTATATGGGCTGTCATGGGAACGGCTTGTTTGCAGCTTTTATAGATTTAAAGCAGGGGTTTAAAACTCAATTTACCTGGGGGCCGCTAGAGGCAGAGTCTGGGTGAGGCTGGGCCGCATCAGATTTTCCGCCAAGCGGAGCAAGAGCCCGAGGAAGCCGCCCAGGAGTTTCCTTAGCCGACAGACAGGTGGGCTGGCTGGCAGGCTGCAGTTCTGGATGGAGGGTGCAAGAAGTGCTGTCTTGGGAGAGAGCCGGCGAGCGAGGGAAGGCTTTTTTTACTTTTGACAGCAGAGGATGTGTGGGCGCTTGGGGGGGGGCAGGCAAGGCGAGGGCCACAAACTATCATCTGGGGGGCCGCAAATGGCCCCTGGACCGCATGTTTGAGACCCCTGATTTAAAGTCTGCCTTTGACTCAATACCCAGAGGAAAATTATGGGAAAAATTCTACTCTTCCTCAATTGATGAGAGGCTATTATATCTTATCAGAAGCCTCTACCAACAGACCACAATTAGGTAAGATGTGGAGTCGATGGGAATCTATCAAACCCCATCCAGGACATTATTAGCCATGTTGATTTTTCAGAAATAAAAAACAAGGTTCCCATGGCGTCCCTTTCATTGTGGGGAAGCTATTGGAGGCTGCAGGACAAGGGGAATTCTTTAATTATTCAAAAATTGTCACTGCTGGCAGTAGAATCATCCCTCTGGCAGCAATTTTCAGAAATTAAAGATTATCCCATACTGCAGCTGCTTCCCTATGATAAAAGGGATTCCATGGGAACCTTGAGACCTTCGGGGGGAATCAGAACTTTTTTGGTCTGATCTCTTGATTGTAATAAAGAAATTGAATTGAACTTTTTTCTTATATGAAAAACCATCATGGTTGATGATGTCAACAGCCGTATGCAGCATAAATTATAGAACAGGATTTTGGCCATTGATTTAGAAACCCTGTTTTCAACCAATTAAAGAAATATTGCTTGATAATTGTACCAGATTTAGTCAGAAGCCATTTCAATTAAATTATATACAGCAGGGATGGGGAACGTGATCCTCCATTCATCCCTCACTACTGGCTAGGAACAACAGCAACTGGTCCAATATCTGAAGACTTATACATGTCCCACTCTACTTGCATTCCAAACCATTTAATTTTTTTACCCTTTCTCTGGGATGCTGGCCAAAGAAATCTGGATGCACTGCAAAATAAAATGGTCGTAGAGCGTTGACAGCATCAGCCCTTGATAAGGCTCTTGCCTGGACAACAAGCTGCAATGGTAATTTCTTCAAACTCAACCTTTGAAAAAATGTAAACAAGTTTATTATTAAACTTTCCAAAGATCACAAAATATTGCTTAAATTATACACTACAATGAGCATGAAAAAATATAACAATATTAGATCTGGCTATGCATTAACTTACTTACTTTCTCCAAACCTTTATTGGCATAAATACAGCTCGGATTACTAACAATAAACACAACGGGTTATAACTTGGGAGTTAATTTAAGAATCTCAAGCAGAAAAATAGCGACAGCTTTAGTGATACGGGAGGAAGAATCATTCAGAAAAATCTCAGGGGTGTTCGGCAGGGAAGATAACCAGGGTTCTAGTAGTGCCTTTCAAATGGATAAATGAACTGGGCAGGAAAACAGTATATGATCAAGTGTATCCGGAACCAAATGGCAGAACAGGCATAATCGATCCTCTTTAGGAATATTTGCAAATCGACCGGCATGGTTCGCTGAGGGAAAAATGTTAAATCGGGCTAACATAAATGCTCTTCTTGACCTGGGGTTGATAAGTGAGGAAAAATAATTTGGATGATAACCAAGTGAAGGGAAAAGACCAAAAGAGAGCGGGGAACAGGTAGGATTCAGTTTGGCTGCAAGAACCTCAAACTCATGCTGCCAGAGTTTAGATTTAATAAGAGCATGAGCCTGTTGAATTCCTAAATCATTTAGGGATTCTAGATTCAAATCAAGGGATTGAAGTTTAATCTCAATCAACTTCAGCCACTTGGAAAGGAAATTGTCTCTGAGTAGATCGTATAGTAAGGAATTGGGCTTGGAGTTTAAATGTAAACGAAGCCAATATTTAAATGTGGTGGACCAAGCAAGGGTAGAGGGGAGATGGGTACCTAATTCCAGAACTAAAGTTGAAAGCTATGCATTAACAGGAAACTATGAAGGAAATTCAGATTTATGCACATCAATATTTATAAATACAGCATAATATACACATACATTTATGACTGCTGCTAAAAAATCCCTGTTCCTCCTTCTCAAGATTCCTTTAAGTTAAAAATAAGAGACCAAAAGTGAGGTCCCAGTTATAACCAATTCCTGGTTGTCTCTAAAACCCCCCCCCCCCCGATGCATCAAGGGAACCCTCAAATACTTCTATTTCTTCTGTGTATAGCTTGGTTGCTCTACTATTATGAGATACATCTCAGGCTTTAACTCTAAATCTGAAAATAGAATATTTTTAAATCTAAAAAGGGCAATGGAATAGTCTTAAACTACCTGGGTGCTAAACAGCAGTTCTGCTATAGAAATACCTGTTGGTCAATTCAAGCAACTAGCTTTTGCCAACCTGATATTCTCCAGATCAGTCTGACAAGTGCTACTGACCACTCTCAAGAATGGTACGTGTTCATGGGAGATGCAGTCCAGTGAGGAGCCACCAATGCAGCAACGAGGGCTGAGAATACTAAGTGACCTTGGAATACATCCGCTGGGGTGATAGAAAAGAAAACCAGCAAAGGGGCTACTGAATAGAGGAATAGACATGGCCGGCTGAAACCCTGGTCAGGTCTCACTTGTTTGTGACAATCCCAAAAGAATCTTTAGCATGAAGCATTATAAATGCTCCCGGGGAGACTTAGCCAGCCCCACATTCATATAGGCTATAAATGTGGTGTGGAAAAAAATACTATCTCATTAAGCTTTAGCTGATGCACTTTAATTTCATTTTAGCAAATTTTAATTGTTTTTTTGTTCGTGTCAGAATGAGCTCTTCAAGGCAATATGCAGGTGGATTATATAGGATTGCAATAAATAAATAGATAGCAGTACTTTCTGCAAATAACAGGCAAATAAGACCTATAAACGAATTAAATGAGTTCTTCTAGCATGATTACCTGAAACACTATTTTCAAAGAAACCAGGGAAGTATGTTGCACTCAACTAAGGTATTTCTGCTAAATATTCTTGATTGGATCTACTGTATTGACTGCTCAGAACATGCTCAAAGCCTAATAGTTCAGTTCTTTCCTTTTAAATGCAGTAAAGAGAGCCAATTTATGTGCACAGAAATTAACAATAGTGAGCTGATAAAGCAAACAATAGTGAACTGATAAAGCAGCACATACACTTAAATGAGGTTTTCATGCATATCTGATCAAGAGTACAGATGGGAAACTATCACATGTGATTGCCTGCTTTCCAGATAATTGGCTAGAGCTCTGTTTGGAAGCTCCTGTCTAAACTTCCAGTTTAAGGACTGTCAGAGTATTGAAAATTTACAGGCCTGAATAGAAAAGAGCAGAAGAAATAATGAGCTACCATGTTGTACAGGTGTGTGATTTGCTGAGTCACAGTGACTCTGGAGAGGTGGTGCCTTGGATGATGCAACCTGAGTACAATATTGCATGACCTTGCTGTGATTGGATAAGGGCAGAGGCTCAACTGTATATATATATGCACTGTATAGAGAACATGTACCCTCCACCTTCATTTGATGATGCCATGCTGCCGCTTTCTACATTTGTACATATGCTGCAAATACACGTGCTGGAGGAAGCTGAATGTGTCTGAGTGATTTATTTCGCCTTCTGGACCTGAAAATACTAACTCTGCTGGATTCTACGCGGTAACAAGGACCACGATGTTTCCAATACAGATGCTTTTTCAAAAAAAGATGAGACAAATTTAGAGAGCTCTCAGGTCCATTAAAGCTGTTACTAAAATTTTGAAATGTATCAGCGATCTGATGTGCATTCACTTCAAAATAAATATCACCTAGGTCAACTGGCTACTGCCAAGAACAAATAGACTGAAGTTTTATTTAGAGAATAGTAACTGGTCAGAAATAATGGATGTTATAGTCCCAAACACCTAAAGGGTGACATTTCTGGGAAGGTTTTAGAATTATAAGACATATGGAAAGCACAGTGGGACATATATAAGCAAGAATACAGGAGAGTAGCCTAGATGCTACAAACATTACTGTGTTGTCATCTTATGAAACTCTTCTCTTCATGTAACATCAGGGAGTCTACAACGGCTGAAATCCTGTTCATGTAACTGATGCCACATAAAGCTGACAATGTAATAATCTGGGACAATTTTCCAGAAATTAAACATCTCTTTCTTCTGTCCTAAGGCACCAATTGCTCCTGTGTAATCCCTTTCACTGATGAGAACCAATGAGAGCTGGAGGACAGGAGGAGGAAGACTTTAATTACTAAAAACTGCTGCTGCTAGGATGACTTTAATGATTTTTAGTAACTGAGGACTACCTCTTCCTGTCTTGGGGACCCACAGGTTTCCGACAAAGCAAGGAATTATCTGGGAGTCATGAGGGATAGTAGCAGGAAATGTCTGATTTCCAAAAAATTGGCCCAGCTGATGATATGAGGAGCCTTATGCAGTGTAACTTAAGCAAACAATATTCCAGTCAAGGTTTGGTAAGTTATAATACAACACACATGTTTTAAAAAACCCCAGCAAACTTAGCTTAATAATAAGGTGGCAGAATTCTCTCCATTTTCATTTCAAACAAAACTGTGTTTAATATGGTTCCATTTCCCAAGAAAAAAGTGTGAAGGTCTAGATGTATTTTTTTCCAGTAAAAGTATACCATTGCATCAACTGCTGACGAGTGAATTGACAATCATATAAATCCCATTGATTGTATTCTAGCAAGGACTAACAATGGAATTCAGGCCTTAGTATACAAGTGCCATTATCATTTATGATGATATTGCAATAAAATTCAGATTTCAGTTCTTCTTGTCTGAGCATGCAGAACATGAAGAGAAAATACAAGTATTCTGTGAAGATACTTCTACTCATGACAGAAAAATTATTTCTAACTGCTTGAACCAAACTACCAGGGTTAAATATAAGAACTCTAGAAACCAAGGTTATCTATACTCAAAAGTTATGCAATTATTTTACAACATTCCAGTTTTTAAAAATGTAGAAATAGAATCACCTCACCTTCTCACCGTCCCTTGGTAGGAAAACATCTTAGTGCTTAATCTCGATTCCAAAGTGCCTTTAAATTTCTTTAAGCAAAGAAAACATGTTAACATTATATAGCTTTACATTCTAGTACTGCTTATTACTTTAAGCAGCAACAACTTGCTGTGAAATTAACACCTAGTTTCATATGAAAATGTCTACCATTCAATCTGTGTATGAGCTGACATTTTTGAACATTAGGGGGAACAATCTCACCATTTTAATGTCGGGGGCACTAGCAGCTCAATACCTTTACAGGGTAATGAAAATAATTCATATCTTTTTCTTTTTTTAAAAAAGGCATCTTGACAATTTCTCTCTTCATTTTTAGTAGCTTCCCTTGGCCTCCAAACAATGTTAGAATAAAAATGATTAGGCCAGACTGCAAGCAGCCTTCAGCTTCTGGTCTAATCAATTTCACTCTGAAGGAAAACATTTATAGATAAAAAAGAAGAAAACATTCTTGAATGGCACAGCTCATAAATGCCTTTGCTGGTAGAGAAAAAGAACTCAGCAGTACTTATCTGTGTTTTTTAAAGGGCTACTTATGCAGATGTGTGAACAATCAATAATGTTTTCACATATTTTTAAATATTAAATTCTAAAATCAATTTGAAAACTATTCTATAAACAGGAAAAAAAAACACTTTACACATCATGTGCAGCATCCAATAGGTGCCGCAACAGTCATATTCAAGTTTACACACACGTAAGGCACCAGTACAAAATCAGTTGGCTCCAATATGGTAATTTAGGGAAGTGCTTACTTTGTAAATCTTCATAAGCTAAAATATATATTTGTATTCTCTCTGTATGTGTGTATACATAAAACTTTAAAAGTAATTTAACACCCCCCCACAACTGGTACTGCCCAATCTATAACATTTTTTAAATCAGTTCAAGCAATGATTTCATACTCTCTTTTAAATTGTTAGCCACCTTACTATTAGTTTTAACATACCCTTTAATAATTGGGGGCACAAGGTGTATTTGTCCTAGAAAGAGGGATAGAACAGTAGCATTTTGCAACATCATCCTTCTTGAGCTTCCATTTCTCCAGTGTTTTAAAGAGCTGAAGATCTGGGACCAAGAATATATTTTGTACATAGAAGACCCTAGGTTTATTTCCTGGCACTCTTAGGTTGTGCTGGAAAACAACTCTATGTAACATGATAAGTCCAAACAGTGTATACAAGGGTGAGCCACCCAGATGCTGTTGAACTGCAACTCTCATCTGTTACATACAGCACTGATGTTACCTGTCTGTCATGGGTTTGGAGGGAAAGTTCCATCCTATGGGGAGTGGAAGGCGGGACATCAGGAGGAGGGGCTGTACTGTATATATATGTGATGCGTGTGTGGAGAAGCTGCAGTAAAATAGTATCTGCTGAGCCATACTTTGTCCATCCTTGCTGTAGACAATTATCATTTAAACCAGTGGTTCCCAACATTGAGTAACCTAAGTGTTCTAGGACCACAGTTCCCAGAAGCCTTCACCATCAGCTGTGCAGACCAAGGTTTCTGGAAGCTGTAGTCCAAGAACACCTGGGTTACCCAAGGCTGGGAAACACTGATTTAGAATAAGGCAACTTTTTTTAAATATTTTATTTTTCCAACATATAACTTACAAATATACAAAAATGACATCCTATATACGTATGTATATATCTATATAAAAACGATACATATTATAAAGCTTAGCCTACAAGCAATCTTATTTAGTAATTCATTTCTTTCGGCAAGATCCTCTCCATATTATTCATTTACTTTCTATTTATTAGAAAACTTTTATTTTCCACCATTCATAGAATAGGTTCCAGCTTTGGTAATAAATTGATTTTTCTTCTCCTTTTAATCTCTTTGTTAGTCTGTCCATTTCTGCACATTCCAATATTTTTTTGATAATCATGTCATCCTTTGGCGGATATCCCTCTTTCCAGACCTGTTCCCACACTAATCTAGCTGCTATCAGAACATGTAATATTAGATAGCAGCTTTGTATGTTTATATTATTTGGTATTAATCCCAACAAGAAAATTTCTGGTTTAAATTCAATTTTTTGCTTAAATATTTGCTTAATCCATGTATGAATTTTAATCCAATATTTTCTTGCTATGTCACATGTTCACCATGCATGGTAATATGTTCCTTCCTGATTTTTGCATTTCCAACATTTGTTCGAAATATTGGCAGATATTTTTGCAAGTCTGGATGGAGGGAGATGCCATCTATAAAACATTTTGTATAGATTCTCTTTATAAGAAGTTGCTAATGTTATCTTAAGATTTTTAGTCCACATTTGTTGCCCTTTTCTAGCTCTATACTATATCCAATTTTTTTGACCATTTTAACATTGTCTCCTTAACCTCTTTATCTTGTGTGTCCCATTGCAATAAAAATGTATATACTTATTGAATTTATTGTTTTTCTACAGTTAGTAATATTCTACAGTATCAAGTATTGTATGCTCTTTATAGAATCCTTGTGGTTTTTTTTGTCTTGATTATAGATTGATTGTAGCTGCAATTGGGGCCACCATGAAAAAATCAGTCCTTGGCTCTCTAGTTGAGTTTTTGTCTTTAATAGTCCTTCCTTATTTAAGAGCTCATTATATGTTGCTATCTTCCCAAAATTTAACAAGTTTGGATGAGTGAATGTTTCCATGGATTAAATCCATCTAGGAGTTTTCACGTATACAGTGGTGCCTTGCTAGACTATGTAAATTTGTTCCACTGAAATCGCTGTCTTGTGAAAACATCGTCTAGCAAAAAGCATTTCCCCACTGAAATGCATTGAAACTCGTTCAATGCGTTCCAATGGGGGGAATTGTTGTCGTCCAGTGAAAATTGCCCATAGGAAAGCCATTTTCCGAAGCGCCGATCAGCTGTAAAATCGCGGTCTTGCAACAGCTGAAGCGGGGAGCGAGCTGTCAAAATTGTCCTCTTGCGAATAAATGGTCCTCTGTGAACCACAAGGAAGGGATTTCCCCACTCCACCCTGAATGAAGCACTCTAAAGCAGTGGTCCCCAATCTTGGGCCTCCAGATGTTCTTGGACTACAACTCCCAGAAGCCTTCACCACCACCTCTGCTGGCCAGGATTTCTGGGAGCTGAAGTCCAAGAACATCTGGAGGCCCAAGGTTGGGGACCACTGCTCTAAAGGAGCCACATGGTCCTGCTTGTCCAAGCCAAACAAAGGGGGATCTCTCAATTACCCACAGCTTCCCGGAAAGGATCAAACAGCAGGAGCCAGCCACGCTCTCTGCCTTCCAATTAAATGATTTGGGGCTGTGGGAAGAAGAGAGCCCAGGCAGCAGGAAGGATTTCCCCTTGATGCCCCCAAGGTTGGAAACCCCTCTCGACCACGTGGCCCTGTTGCGCCGCAGAGGCAAGGAGACAGACAGCCCTCGGAAGGGCTGTCCTTCTAATCCACCCACGGGGAAGCCTAGCTGAGGGGAAATCCTGAGCTGCTTCTTTTTTAGCCCTGGCGCGGCTGAAGCACAGCAGACCTGCCCCTCCACGGCACTGAGCCAGGTAAGGGGCCATCTACAATGAGCCCCCCCCCAATCCCCAGCCAGGAGACTGATACTGGGGGGGAATCCCCAACCGCTGGGCTTCTGAGAGGCGGCCAGCAGTAAGACCGACTAGCCCCTGCTCGGCATGGTGCGGCCACTCTACCCCCACCCCACTTGGTGTATGGGCGCTCTGGGTGGCAAGCTCACTGGCCAACAGTCCGCATGCTTCCCCGCCTCCAGATAAGTGCTGATTGCACTCGGCCAGCAGCAAGACCAGCCAGCCCCTGCTCGGCGCGGCCGCTCTCCCCCCGCCCCACTTGGTGTATGGCCGCCCCGGGCAGCAAGCTCACTGGCCAACAGTCTGTGCCCTTCCCTGCCTGCAGATAAGTGCCGATCGCGACTGGCCAGTGAAGCCCAGACCAAATCATCGTCAAGCGAAAATCACCCATTGAAATGACTGTTTTGCGAATCACTATAGTGATCGCAAAAAGTCATCGTTATGCAGATTTGTCATTTAGTGGGGTCGTCATCTAGCGAGGCACCACTGTATTTTATATTTAATTTTTTTCCCAGACTTTTAACATAGAATTCCTTATTATATTTCTTTCAAAATATTTATGGGTTTTAGTTCTACCATACCATAAAAAGGTGTTCCAGCCTGCTTGCAAGTCGTGTCCTTCTAAATACAGTGGTGCCCCACATAGCGACGTTAATCCGTTCCGGATTAATCATCACTATGCAAAATCATTGCTAAACGGATCGAAAAACCCAATAGGAACGCATTAAACTTAGTTTAATGCATTCCTATGTGGCCCAAACTCACCGTTCAGCAAAGTTCTTCCATAGCGCCGCCATTTTCTCGCCCTCGGTAAGCGAGGGCAGGGCGCGAAAACACTTGCGGTGGCCATTTTGGGCACTCGGTGGCCATTTTGGAACTGCCAATCAGCTGTTGTAAAAACATCGCAATGCGAAGATCGGTAAGCGAGGCACCATTTCCCACAGGAACGCATTGAAAACTGATTAATGCATTCTGGGGGAAGAAAAAAACTAAAATAAAATAAAACAAAATACTGCAAGTCCCACAGTGGGACTGCAAAAAACAAAACAAAACAAAAACAAATCCAAAAATAAACATTGGAGCAAGTCCCACACTGGGAATGCAAAAAAAAAAATCACCAACAAACCAAAAACAAACCCCACACAGAAAGATACCCCCCAGCCCAAACCTACCCTCCAAATCTCCAAAACCCAAATGCAGCACTTACCGGCCCGAAGCCTCCTGGGGGTCCCCCGATGCTGCGATCGCCGCCGCCGCCTGGTCAGTGTGCTTTGGCCGTTCGCCCCCAGCCGCAGTGGAGGCAGCGGTCGCCCAGCGCTGGGAGACTTGTGCTGGCCGGGTTTCAGCCGCTTGCCTTCTGGCTCACCTCCCGCTTGCTCTGTGCCACCCTCCATCGGCCCATGGCAGGAAATTCAAATGGCAGAGGGCAGCAAGGAACGAGCGGGAGGCGAGCCGGGAGGGGAGCGGCCCAAGAAATCTGGCCAGCTCAAGCCTCCCGGCGCTGGTTGACCTCTGCCTCTGATCGTGGCAGCAGGGGACCCCCTGGAGGTCTTCCAGGGCTTCCCCATTGCTATAGGAGACCTCCTGGGGGTCCCCGCCACTGCAATCCGTGCCTTTGGAGGTCTCTGGAGGCCTCCTGGGGGTCTGATCATGGCAGTGGAGGACCTCCTGGGGCGGTCCCTTTTCCTAACCATTGGGGCAAAAGAGCTGCCTCTTTGCCACCCACGGTTTAAATGGAACAAAAAAAATGCAGGGGAAATTTGAATTTCCCATCCTTTCCCCTCCTTTTTTTGTTCGTAGGTCGAGGCTCCATTCGCAAGTTGATGCAAATTTTTGCGAATGGAGCCATTTGTAAATAAAAATGTTCATAGGTAGGGACGTTCGTAAGTCAAGATTCCACTTTACTTTGAATCCAAACCTTATTATACACAGTCTATGTAAGATTTTTAAAATGCTTTACAACTCCCACATAAGTCCAAGGGCTGTCCCATGTTTTTAAGATCTTACAAGTGTTTTGTGCGGTTTTGACATGCAACTTCTTTGCAATCAGCAGATCACACTGTTGACAAATCACCAATCCACTTTGGGAGGTAGTATTAGGCATGACAGGCAAGAAGAGACTAATAAATGGCAGATTTAGAATCTTTAGCTTCTTGTGGAACTGAATTCTATTATGAGTTGGCAAGGCATCAAAACACTCACAAACTGGATGGCCAAAAAGTTACATTTTAAGAGTACAACACTTCAAAAAGTATCATCAACATACTCAACAAACAGGTGCCTATAAGACCTTTACACACCAAGAATTATGGTAGTTACTGGAATTATTAAAGAGTTAGGTTGCTCAGAACACAAGACTCAGGTAGTATTTTCTCAGATGGTCAACCATTCACTTTCTTTCTCTTACACCAGGCTGACTATACCCTCAAAATCTTCACCGGCTCCGTCTGCGAGTACAAATTCACCTGCTGTCTCAATCTGTCCTTTAGTAAAGCCCGGGATATTTTAATAGAGTATATTTGCAAGCAAACCTATCCAAGGCTGCAGCCCAAACTTTCAACTAAATAAGGATTTCCAAGCCAGAGCCTGGCAACGCTGATGCTGAGGGAAGATACGCGAATTAAAGAGCAGGGCATCTAACCATTTTCGCATTTCTTCTTAGCTGGGCGACTGGGGGCGGCAGGAGGCTAACAAGGGCTTAGTTGTTCCTAAACCATTTTGAAACAAGTTACTGTCGCCTCACGTCAGGCATTTAAGAGACGTTTGCTTCAGAAAGGCCTATGGCAGAAAGAAAACATTTCGCTTCACTAGGAGCACTTTTGAGAGCGAAACACAGACATCCAGCGCTTGCGAAACCCTGAGTATTTCTTCCGACGCGGACGCGAAAGCACACAAAACAAAAACACCGAGTACTCCTCCTCCTCTTCTCCTTCAAACAAAAGCCCCGGCATATTGCCCCCCGCCCAGTGTATCCCCTCTCCGCTTTCCTTCTGTTTAAGAAGGGCTGTCACACAAACTCGCGGAAACGTTTGCCCAGAAGCACCAGCAGCGTCCCCTCCGCCCCGCCGCTTTTAGACGCGAACCTCAACATCGCTGGAGTCTCGCCCGTTCCGTCAGCCGGCGCTCTCTCTCTCTCGCCTCAGCCGCTCACCTGTGTTCGTCTTGCGGGGGCTCCTCTCCCATCACCCAACCCTGAAGAGGGGGACGTGGGTGGGCACGCACGCACACGCGCGCGAGAGAGCCGGCCAGCTAGTGGGTCACTTCTGGGGCCCAAACCAAGCAGCACCTGAGGCGGAGGAGGTCCACCATGGGCGGAGCCGAGGGAATCACGTCACCACCTCCCTCCAACGTCATCACCCAAGCCTACCCAGCCTCCGGGAGGGCCGGGTCACGAGCCGTTTGGCAGCAGGAGCGATCTTAAAGCTGGCGCAGTTAAGCTCGCTAACGCCACCCCTCGGGTCCTCTTCATGCTCTGCTGGCCTCATCGCTCGGAAGCCTCTGTGCCCCCCCCCCGCGGCCGGCGCTTGCGCAGTAACAGGAGGAGAGGTTGGAGCTTTCTCCGAGCCTGAGGGCAAAACATTAAAAGGGACGAAACGCTGCCCGAAACAGCTACGCAGACGGCGGGAGGTAGTTTGCAACTGTCTGATTTCCGCCCCTCTCCGCCCCTCCTCCGGTTTCCGAGTATATTTGTGTCCCTAGACTCGTATCAAATTCGCCCTTGAAGAGGACGAAGAGTTGAAGCCCACTTACGTCGTCTTCGTTTTCAGGGCTGGTGGGAACAGCTCTCTTGGAGGTTTTTAAGAGTCAGCCTCTGTGGTACAAAAAAAGAGGCAGCTGTGTTAAGTCTGTGCAAGCGTCTCAGGCAAAATCTAAAGAAACAAAAGACAAAAACATGCTGGCACCTTTAAGGCTATTACATTTTAATGTGAGCATTTGTGGATCATGTCCACTTCTTCAGAAATGGAAAAAAATTAAATGTGGTTTCTGGATTTCATTCTGCACTTCATTTCCCCCCATATGTCTTAAGTGGGCATAATCCACAAAAGCTCACATTTAAATAGTTTTTAAGGTACCACGTCTTTTTTTGGCTTTATTTGGATTTTGCCTGAGACTCACGACCCATGTTTCCTCCAGCAAGCAGGTAGTGGTACAAGCTGTCTCCAGCTGGATTCTTCTTCACAACCACTATGTGAGGTAGTTCCAGAGAAAAACCCCAAGGGGTTGTGGTTGTTACACAATACAAATGCAGGAACAGGTGATACCTTTGTATTCTTGATGGCTTTCACAGCTGGGATCAGATGGTTGTTGTAGGTTATTTGGGCTGTTTGGCAGTGTTCGGAAGGTTTTTCTTCCTAACGTTTCACCAGTTTCTGTGGCCGGCATCTTCAGAGGACAGGAGTTAGAACTCTGTCTTCTGGTGTAGGATAGTTGAACAAGTCCAAACAGCCCAAAAAACCTACAACAACCAACAGGTGATACCTTTGTTAGACCACTTTTAAAAAGTACACTATCAGCAGCTTTTGTGGGTCAAGTACACTTCCTCAGCCCATGCATCAATATATTATGGATAATGCAGGAAAAATAATGTCTCAAAAATGCATGGCAGGTGGTTTTGCCAGGCTTGCTTTTTAGATGCGAGTTAGACAAAATGCAGTTTGTTTTGGGGGTGTGGTTTTCCAACTACACCCCAGGTACCTGTTGGTTGGATATCGTCCCTCTGCAATCTCCTGTGTGAGGTAGATTAGCACAAAAGTGACTGATCCAAGGCCAACTTCTGAACTTCATATCCATGTGGGGATTGTACCCAGGTTCCCCTGAGTCCTAGTCCAACATTTTAACTATACAGTACACTACATTGGTGCTTGAATGCCTCCCTTCCATAATTCAGAAGGGAATCAATAGATTGTGAGCCTGCAGATAAGGATTCATGTCTTTTAAATATCTGTATAATAATAATAAAAAATACTTTATTGCTTTAGAAACATGGAATAACAATCCTCATAGTAGACCTGCAGGGTGTGTCAGTTGTATTCTGAATAGAGATAGGGGTATTTATATATGAATACCCCCACTCGGCTGGACATAACGAGGGTCTGGACTGTCCACTCACTCATGCACTGCTGCCAGCGGGTTTGCTGTCCCTTCCAATTGCTTTGGAGCTCACGGTTGACTATTCACTCCTGGCAGGAGGGAAGACGAGTCTCCCTGCCAGGCTGATGAGTGGATACCCGACCACTCCAAAGCGATTGGAAAGGAGAGCAGAGGTGGCGGCAGTGGACCCGTGATCCTTGTTACATCCAGCTGTGCAGTGGTATTCATATTTCTATACGAATACCCCCATTTCTAATTCTGAGTTAAGGCCAATGAATGACAACCATTTCAAGCTCATACTCATGGTTGCTACATTAGTTTCCGTTTTCAAATGACAAAGACAAGGCAGCTCTGAGCTCGGATACCAGCAGATTCTCACAGATGAAAAAGTGTTACGGATATTATTGTGTTTCTGAAAAACTAAGTTAAAATACCATTCTTCACTGTAATTTTCCATTTAGGAGACATAGAAGGAGTTTCCCTGAAGAATGGAAAAGCTATGGGGGTACTCTTGGGTGTTCCCTAGCAATGGCGTGCAGCCAACCAATCATTCATTTCCAGGAGCATTGTACTGTAAACTTCCTGATGAGCAAAATGACTCGATGGTTCTTTTTAGGAGCACAAATGACAATAATTTCTATTAATATAGAAGGCATTCCCTCATCTGAAAAGGAACTCCTAGCATCACTCCCTCACAAATGGAAATATGACATCCTTTATGTCCAAGAAACTTGGGGAGGAATGGATCAGCATTGACAAAAAATTCCTGGGATGTATCTAGTTGCTGAGAGGCCCCACAACCAATACAGAAGTGCCATTTTTGTAAGACCCAGTATTATAGTCCAATCAATGAACTTTATTGAAGAGAACAGCATAGAAATCTTCATTGTTGAACTGGATTCGTGTATAAAGTGTGGAGACTGTCCTCTGGGGCCCTGACCAATATTTTTCTTCGGTAGATCGAGCCGAGACATCCAGTGCATTGCCTTGTCCTGTGAGTTTAACATAGTTTCAGCCTGTGATATCTAATGAGGTTGACAGGGTGCTTGTCCGCTGCAGGGTCACTGCAATCTCCCTAGATCCTTGACCGACCTGACTCATGAAAGCTGCCCAGCCAGTAACAACTGAATGGGCCACTGCTATTATTAATGGGTCTTTCCTTGAGGGCAAGGTGCCCCAAGCCCTCAAGGAGATGCTAATTAGGCCCATTAATAAAATATAACTTGGTGGCAGACAATATTAACAACTATGCATTCAGCACCAATGTGCCTTTTCTAAGCAAGGTGGTGTAAAGGGCGGTGGCCAATCACCTACAGACATTTCTGGAGGAGACTGCTGTCCTTGATCCATTTCAGTCCAGGTTCAGACTGTGTCATGGCATGGATATGGCATTGGTCACCCTGCAAGATGACCTTTTGAGGGAGACCAACAGGGGCAAAATATCCTTGCTGATCCTCCTTAGCCTCTCAGCGACCTTTGATACTGTTGACCATGGTATCCTCCTAGGGAGGCTCTCTGGGCTGGGGATACATGGCCTGACTTTGTCTTGGCTCCATGTCCTTCCCAGAGGAAATCCCAATTGTGGAATCCCACAGGGGACAATCATCTCCCTAGTGCTGTTTAATATCTATATGAGACAACTGGGGGAGATCATCAGGCGTTTTGGACCTTTGTGTCACCAATAAGTAGATGACACCCGTGAAGGTTAGTTACCTTGAGAAATGTTTTTCCCTTTACTTCCACGTCTAGCCCAGCAACACACAACTCTTCACCATGGATTGTACCAATATGATGTATTATAGGTGTATCTACCTTGTTTCCCAGAAAATAAGACAACCTGAAAATAAGCCCTAGTATGATTTTTGAGGATGCTTGTAATAGAAGCCCTGTCCCCAAAATAAGCCCCAGTTAAGTGAAACCCCCCCCTCCATCACTGTGCAGCAACCGGAAGACGACATGACTGTATTTGAATAAATGTAGATTGTTGTACATGAAAAAAAAATAAAACATCCCTTGAAAATAAGCCCTAATGCGTTTTGGAGCAAAAATTAATACAAGAACCTGTCTTATTTTCAGGGAAACATAGTAGGAACATTTCAAGTGACAGGAATATGTAACTTCTCTTCCTCACACAACGGTGTGAGGAAGGGTTTAGCTTCTGGTTTCTGAAATGGGTTTGAAACCTTAAAGTCCAACCATTCAAAACCTTTCTCCAAGGAGAAGTCCACTGATGTGGCATCTTGTGGAATTGACAGGAAGGGCATACCAATCTGTCCAGATGCCCTTGGCATAGACTTGTCAAATCCTGCTCCTGAGTATTCCCCAGTGTTGGGGTTTCGGGTGTTGTTTCTGAGGACCACTGCCATCTACCCCCTCTCCTTTCCTTATTCAACCAGGCTCTCTCCTCCCTGATCTTCCGTGCCCACTCTCGAGCCTCCTTCTCACCCCAGTAAGAAGGCTACACTGGCATCACCTCTCTCTGTCTCCTCTCAGCCTCTTCTCTGGGCACCATGAGCCGTTCCCACTTCTTTGTCCAGAGATCTTCTAACCAGATCCATTCCCAACCTGGGGCAAGGATCTTACCACTTCTACATGATTTGGCTTCCCCCGCGTCCACCGACCTTTTCTTTCTCTCCCTTAACTCCTCCCCTCCCCCTTCTTTCCTTCCTGCCTTTTCCAACGGACTCTCTGGCTCCACCCCTTTTTGTCCTGTCATCTCTGGTTTTCTGTCCCTCATTTCCTGTTCTGGACCTGTCATCTGTTCTCCTAGACCAGTGATGGGGAACTTTTTTTTTTTTTTTGCAAATCAACATAAAACATTTTAGAATACTCATTATCATCTGTTACATTTCATAGCATATGTTCCTGGTAAAACTTAGTTATGATATACATTCTATTTCTAAATAATGAACCTTTTTGATCCTGAGTGCCCAAACTGGGGAAAAGAAAAAAAGCCCAGTAGGCGGTGGGTGGCGTCGGAAGGGGAAATCCCAGGCACAGAGGTGCCTCCAAACCGCACTCCGGATCCACCTCGTCATGCCCAACCCCGCCACTGCCTATAGCTTGGCTGGCCAGCCCACCAGCACCAGCTGCTCTGGATCCTTGCCTGCCACTGTCGGGGCACTAGCACCGCATCTCCAGCCGCCGCCTTAGCTTTGGCTGCTGGGGATAGTGATCCAGCAACTTATGACTCGTGTGCCCACAGAGAGGGCTCTGCATGCCAACTGTGGCACATGTGTCATAGGTTTGCCACTGCTGTCCTAGACCCTCTGTCTGTTCTACTACTTCCTCCACCATCGTCACTAGAGATATTCATTTTTTGCTCAGCTCTCGTTCCTCTGTTAAAGGGGTTGTTTTCCTCTCAGTCTTAGGGATCTTGGGCTTGGGCTCAGCACTTGCTCTATGGAAGAGGGATGGCACTCTGGCAGGGACATTTCTACCCTGCCATCCTTCTCACAACACCCAGCTCTATTTCTCCTTCCACCTTCCTGCAATAGATGCCGTCCCGTCCCTTGAGCACTGCCTAGATGCCATGCTGGGGTGGATGAGGGATAACAGACTGAGGCTAAACCCAAACAAGATGGAAGTCCTTTGGTTGGTTGCCCTTATGTCTGCACTTCCCTTTCTTTTTTTGGGGGGGGGGGGGCAGCACCGTCAATGAAGTTCCAAATAGCATCTGTGATCCACTCTGCCTTTTTCCACTGGAGGTGGATTGCCCAGCTGTTTCCCTATTTTGACATTGGGTCCCTCATGACATTCCAGATAGCATCTGTGATCGACTCTGCCTTTTTCCACTGGAGGTAGATTGCCCTATTTTGACATTGGGTCCCTCATGACAGTAGTCCATGCATTAGTAGTCTCAAAATTAGACTACCGTAATGTTCTCTATGTGAGGCTGCCTATGAGGCTGCTATGGAAACTTCAGTAGATCCAGAACATGGCAGCCAGATTGCTGACTGGAGTGAAGAAATGCCACCATATTTCCCCTACTATGGCCGCCCTGCAGTGATTACCTGTTTGTTTCCATGCCAGGCTTTACATAGCACAGGGCAGGAATGTTGACACCAACAATGGCAGCATTGAAGATGATCTACAGGACAACTGAATTATCCTAAACTACACATTTAACACAGAAAAAAACACAAATAATTACAAACTGTCACTGTGCCGTGTCATGCCCATTTCTATTAGTGACCCTATAGCTAAACAGTGCATTAAGAGCATATGTGATCCAATCCCAAACCCTCAGCACAGACCCATTCTATGTCAGATCTGCTCAGCCATCTGACCTCAATCCATACCAGAGCCAAATGCTAGATGTAGCTGTACTTCAGACTGCCCCTCCACCAAAGACCTATGATCAACTTGTAACTTCCATTTTAGAATGTTCTCGTGGCTCCATTCGAAGAGGGTGCCAGACAAATTACATCCCAGCTCTCACTCCCAAAATACACACCCAATACTTAGATTACATTTCAAACTTTGAAGAAAATTCTTTTAGAGGCTGTCCACACTGGCACATAGATATATGGATTGCTGTTGGTATGGTGTCCACACATGCTTCTCTTTTGATCCATCCTTCTCCTTTAAGAAAGGGACGTGGTGGCGCTGCAGGCTAAACCGCAGAAGCCTGTGCTGCAGGGTCAGAAGACCAAGCAGTCGTAAGATCGAATCCAGGCACCGGAGTGAGCACCTGTCGCTTGTCCCAGCTCCTGCCAATCTAGCGGTTCGACAGCATGCAAATGCAAGTAGATAAATAGGGCCACCTCGGGGGGAAGATAACAGCGTTCTGTGTCTAAGGCGCACTGGCCATGTGACCACGGAAGATTGTCTTTGGACAAAACGCCGGCTCTATGGCTTGGAAACGGGGATGAGCACCGCCCTCTAGAGTCGAACACGACTGGACAAAAATTGTCAAGGGGAACCTTTACCTTTACCTTCTCCTTTAAGAGCTGCCCCACATCTTTTTGAAACCCTGTCAGGGGGTTCTATTATTTTGGTGCAGGTTGGAAGGCAAGAGTAAAGTCATTTTCCAGTAAGTGTGATCATTTGGAGCAGACAAATTAGAGCCTTGTAGCTGGTACCTTTTAAGTGTTTTATGAGCCACTTCAAGATATCAGAAATTGAACACTTCCCCTGATCGTCTGCAGACAATCCAGTGAAGTGGATTTTTTTTTACATCTGCTAGATCATCATTGAAATGATTCATCACTTCTGCTACATTAAAAAAACCATTTTTCTTTGCCTGTCTGCGTACTGCTGCTTGGAAAACTGCCCACAGCTTTCACTTCTCCCTCCTTTCCTCTCTGCAACTTGCCAATCATCCTTCTTTGGGTGTCTGCAGTGCAGGTCTATTTAGAACTCACTGGATAGATGTTAGAAACAGCCAGGAATCCTGGAGACAGTTAAAAAGACTGAACAATAATCCAAACAAAAAGATGAAATACAACCCCCAACTAAACAGCACACCAACTGCTCCTGGCAGGCAAGACCAATCAACACATAAAAATAAAACATCAAATGGATATTCAGAATGAATCCAATGAACCTTCTACTGCCTTCACATTGGTGAAGCCAGAGGAAGCCATAAGATGTAGGAGTGGCCAAGCAGTGGGACTCTATGACATCTATGAAACATTTGAGGCAAAACACAAAGGAATAGCTCCTTTAACTCTCCAATAACTGCTGGACAAGCAAATTCCAAAAATCTGGCGGAAGATGAAAGAAATTGCTATACTGAAACCAGGGAAACAACCATCAGACCTCAAAAGCTACAGGCCAGTCTCTCTACTATGCCACTTATAAAAAGTTTTTGAATGAATTATACTAAAACATCAAACTCCTAAAGTGGAACCTTTTCTAATGAACAGGCAGGCTTTAGACCTGGCAAGAACTGTACAGATCAAATATTAAATCTACCTCAGTATATAGAAAATGGTTTTGAAACACATAAAATAACCAGAGCAGCATTTGCCAATCTTTCAGGGGTGGGCAATTAATTTCTATTGGGGGGGCACATGAAAAATCTGAACTGTGTTCAGGGGCCGAACCAACTTTACTTTAAAATAAAATGAAACAGTGATGTTATGATTGTTTTTATTTTAAACTTGTTGATCTTCACAAATACTAAAGAGGTTTTTTTGCGGTATGCTAAAGATAAGCAACTGATCAACTTTAGACAAAAAGCTATAAATAGTTTTGATGTTCAAAACTATCCATGGGCCGGACAGGAGCGGCTCACGGGCTGTATGTGGCCCTCGGGCTGCACTTTGCCCAGGTATGTTATATGTGATACTGTCCACCATGAATTGCTGCTCAAAAAGCTCCACCTCTTTGCTTAAACAAACAAGAAGAGTGTGAACACAACAAAAGTATTTTATTGATATATTATTTTGAACAATGATTACTGTCAACTAAAGTGTTATCAACAATTGACTAGAAAAGCCAGACCTTTCCTGCCCATTTCATATTCTCTTTCAACCATTTAAGTACAGAAGCATATTTCAAACTATAAACTTTCTCCTTGTTAACATTTACTGTCAAAAGCTTTATGAAAAGCTTTGGACTGGATATACGAGCAGCTTGAATCAGTCTCTCCGTTGCACTTTGATAGTCCTCTTCTTTTTGTATACTGTGGCCTTCACATCTGAAAGAGTTTTCAGAGTCAAATAAATCATGGTCAACATTCAGCTACTCTGAAAGTTTAAAAATAGCAATGTATTATGAACAACTATCTTGTGTTTGGGGTTCCATTAGAATTGGCAGTTTACCCACCTATAATTGTACAGTGGTGCCTCGCTTAACGAGCGCACCGTACAACGACGAAATCGCATAGCGATCCCTTTTTTGGGATCGCTAATGTGATCGCTCAACGACGTTTAGATAGGGCGAAACTCGCTTTGCGAAGATCGGCAAGCGTTTCGCTTAGCGATCTTCGCAAAATGAAGCCCCGACGATCAGCTGTTTGGCGGACAAAATGGCCGCCAGAAGCCCCGAAATGGCCGCGCGCAGCGTTTTCGCGCCCTCCCCTCACTTAACGAGGGCGCGAAAATGGCTGCCGGCCATAGGAAGCATCGCTGAACGGTGAGTTTTCGGCCCATTCGGAACGCATTAAACGATGTTTAATCCATGCCAATGGGTTTTTTTGATCCGTTCAGCGATGTTTCACTATAGCGAAGGTTAATCCGGAACGGATTAACCTTGCTATACGAGGCACCACTGTAGTTCTTCAAGTGGACCTCTGTGATTCATACCCTGAGTGATCCGTGCCTGTGTGGAGCCTCATCGGAAGATTCTAGAACTTCTGCTGCAGCAAAAAACACATTAGAATAAATCCCTCCCCCTATATAAGTACCTTGGCGCCAAGACTCTCCCTTCAATTGTGTCAACTGCCACTAGACTAAGCAGTATGGCATGACAGTGGGGAGGTCAGGCGGGATGTGTGAATCACAGAGGTCCACTCAAAGAACTACAATTACAGGTGGGTAACCTGTTCTTCTTTGTGGCCTCTGTGAATCACACCCTGGGTGACTAGAAAGTTGTCTTACCCGGAGGCAGGGTGTTACGCCAAGGTAGAGGCTAGAACAGCACGTCCAAAGACTGCATCATACTTCTGCCGGAGATCAAGTCTATAGCGCCTGATGAAAGTGGATGGCTGTGCCCAGGTGGCAGAGGCGCAGATGTCTGGAAGAGGTATGCCACGAAGAAATGCCACAGAAACTGCCACTGCCCTGGTGGAGTGAGGGCGAATCATCTTTGGGACTGGTTTCCGTGCCTGTTAATATGCTAGGTGAATGGTTGAAGCGACCCATCTAGATATGGTTTGAGACGTCACCTGACAACCTTTGGTAGGTGGTTGGTGACTTATGAAAAGTCAAGATGAGTGTGTGAAAGATTGGGTGTGCTGGAGGTAAAAGGCAAGGGCTCATCTAATGTCTAAGGTATGGAGGATTCTTTCTTGAGCTGAAGATGGTGATGGGAAGAAAGAAGGGAGGACAAATGGCTGTTAGAGATTAAATTAAGATACGACTTTGGGGAGGAAAGAAATATCCATGGAAAACTTCACCTTGTCAAGAAAAAACTATAAACAAGGAAAGTCATAACGTAAGGCTGCTAAATCACTAGCTTGCCGAGCTGAAGTGATAGCAATGAGGAAAACTGTTTTAAAGGTAAGTAGTCATAAATCAGTTGAAGCTAAAGGCTCGAAAGGAGCTTTAGTAAGTTGTTGTAGTACAAGTGTTAATGACCATTGTGAAGAAGGTGGACAAGTGTCTGGGTACATATGAGATAGACCTTTAAGAAAGCAGTTTAATGTTGGATGTTTGAAGAAATCAGCTGCTGGAGAATTGGGAGGCTGATAAGAAACTATAGGAGAGGTAAACTCTTAATGAAGAGAGGGGAAGGCTGCTAGACTTGAGATGAAGTAAGAAACGTAGAACAGTGGCAAGTGATGGATTGACAGAAGGCAACGAGGAAGCTTCAGTGAAAGATTTAAATTTCTTTCATTTATACAGGTAAGCCTTCCTGGTGGACGGTTGTTTTTTGCTTGATGGAGAATGTCCATTAGCGAGGCAGAATCCTCCATGCTGCCAGGTGCAGAACAGGTAAGTCTGGGTGGAGTACTTGGGAGTTATTCTGCGAGAGGAGGTGTGGCAGGCGAGGGAGGTGGTGAATGTCTGGTGAGAGATTGTGAAGGACTGAGAACCAGGGCTGTTTTGGCCACCAAGGGGCTATAACGACGGCATACGTTTGTCTTGTTGTAGGCAAACTATGACCTTGTGGAGGAGTGGGAATGGCAGAAAAAGCTAAGTGAGGGTCTTGGGCCATCGGCCGATAAGCGCATCGTCTGAACTTACGATTCACACAGGAGGGCGCATCTCCTTGGGAGTGCTTGCTAATGCCAGCCTAGGAGCAGTATCGTCTGAACTTACGATTCACACAGGAGGAGATCGAGAGTTGGCTTGCCCCATTGCTCATTAAGATGAAGAAAAATGGATTGGTCTAATTCCCACTCATGAGCTTGAGAATTTGCGTGACTGAGTAGGTCCATCAGGTTGTTGTTGTGGCCAGCTATGTGTAAAGCCATGAGACAGATGTGATGTGCCAGGCACCACTCCCAGAAGTCGACCACTAAATAGAGGAGACTTGGAGAATGGGTGCTGCCTTGTTTGAGGCTATAGCACATCACTGTGGTGTGCTCGGTACCATCTTGCCAACAAGAAGATTTCTGAAGGCTCTAGAACCAAAGAGGCTTCGGTGGACATTTGGCGTTTAGCAGAAGGTTTCGATATCGAAGATTTCGGTATCAAGCAGTTTGATTTGTGAGTTTTTGAGGTTTTGGACAAGGTGGATGGAGCGTTGGAGTGAGATGATGTGGCTGATGGGCGTTGTTTTCTATGGCGTGACAGGGGGAGGAATGTGTGAATCACAGAATCCACTCAAAGAACTACGATTACAGGTGAATAACCAGCTGTTCTTCTTAGTGGCCTCTGTGAATCACACTGTGGGTGACTAGCAAGCTGTCTTACCTGGAGGCAGGGTGTCAGAGCAAGGCGGAAACCAAAACAACACGTCCGAATGTCGCATCAGACTTCTGTCAAACATCTAGTCTGTAATGTTGGACGAAGGTAGATGGTTGTGCCCATTTAGCTGAGGAGCAAATGTCGGAGAGAGGCACACCACGTAGGAATGCTTTAGAGGCCGCCAATGCCCTGATGGAATGAGGGACCGGCTGTCGAGCAAGCTAGTATGAAAGCCGAATAGTAGAAGCAACCCAGCGAGAAATTGTATGGGAGATGACTTGTTAGGAAGCTGATGACTGACAAAAAGGTATGGGGAACATTGAAAGGGTTGCGTACGTGACAAATAAAAGGAGAGGGCCCTCGTGACATCCAAAATATGAAGAAGTTGTTCATGGGTTGTGGATGGTGACGGAAAGATGGGAGTACCAGTGGTTGAGAGAGATGAAACTGAGACACCACTTTAGGGAGGAAGGCGACATCGAGGAACAACTTTACTTTATCAGGATAGAATTGTATATAAGGATAATCATGGCGTAGGGCCACAAGGTCGCTTGTATGGCGAGCTGAAGTAATTGCAACGAGAAAGGCCATTTTGAAGGAAAGTAGATGGAGATCCACTGAGGAATGATGTTTCGATGATTCTGCAATGGCTTTTTCCAAGCTTTTGGCTGGTGAGGTGGTTTTAAACGTAGTTTGACCCATAGCTTTTCCCGCTTGCAAAGACTGTTCCCAGAGAACAGATAGGTGAGATAGGAGAGAACGGAGGACTCCTCATTTAAAATTTTATCTTAGTATCGTAAATCACACAGTGCTTAAACGGACCCAAAGGGGCCAGGAATAATAAAAAGAAAAAAAAACTGGAACGGGTGTGTGTGTGTGCGACAGCCGGAGGCAGAGGCATGGAGAAGAAAACTAAAAACAGTTCAAATATGTATCTTTGATTAATAATGAAGAGGAAAAAAAATTAAGTTCAGCAGTAAAAAGAACTTGTTTCACTTTCAGACTCACAGAAGATAGATGTACGAGGCTCTTCAACGCGGTGGTTGAAAGAAACTGAAGGGAGAGTCCTGGTGCCAAGGTACTTATACCGATGGGGAGGGGTCTATTCTAATGTGTTTTTTTGCTGCCACAGAAGCTCTAAAATATTTCGAAGAGGCTCCGCGCAGGCGTGGAACACCCACAGTGTGATTCATAGAGGCCATGAAGAACATCCTTTATACAAGACAGCCAAAGAAATGCTAAAGCATCAAGGTTTGGTATATATTGTCAAGCTTCCCAATCTACTGGAACCATTATATCCACAAAGATTACCTAATCTGCACCATCAGATTTTTTTCCTAGGTATTCAGGTCTCTAAACAACACTTAATGACAACTTTTAATATAGTTATTTGGCATGTTCTTTAGAGTCACATTTATTTTATGAGTTGTCACAAACTATTTACAGCATTGCTTCCCATGAAATAAACAGATCAGCAACAAAACCTGACAGACTGCATAACTGCACATTTCCAAGATTTACTAACCTTTTCAATACTATCTGAAGTATCTGATTGAAAGCACCAGGGCTCTGAATACTACTTGCATTTGAAACCAAGAAGATTTCAATTCCTAACAACATCTCAATTTCAGACATGAAAGATGGTATCAGCAGGCGCTTATGGTAAAGATTTCCCTCCTGTGGTGGATAGCACCCCAATGCCAAAGCACCTGAAAAATGAGTGTAAAAATATGAAAGTAGCTGGGGAATATTTTGCTAAACAGATACCTATCTTTAAGAGTATGTACAGTTAACTGCCTTATATATCGTAAGAGTCTCTTGTGAGATAATCCGAACTTCCATACAAGTTTGAAATGTTTCCAGAAGTCCTCTGGGTATTTTTTTCAAAGTCCTCTATATATTCCTATCAGACCTAAAAGCAAGCCATACAATTTTTCAACCAAAACAGTTAACAGAAAGCTCATAATGGGTAAGATCTCACAGGCTGTCGGTCTACTACAGTATACATTCCAAAAATATCAGTAGCTCTGCATTCTTTAGAAGTATATCCAAACATACCTCATCTGCTCAAGCAAAATTTTAAGCAATATTTATCAATACCAAATTACATATGGACTGGACTGGACCAAACTTTTCTAAGTCAAGTTGTTCAATGATCTAAAGTAGCAGAATTATTTTAAAGAGATCTTACTTTTATAATGTGTCCTGGCTTTAAGCCACATACAACTTCTTCCCAATGATGTAATCATTGCTCTAAGCAATTTAAATTCAACAGGAATGTTCTTTGAAAACATGAACTCCATGACTGTAGATGATATTCCAATGTGTTCATTGTCTAAACAAGCACCAAGCAGTTTATTAAACAAAAAGCTGTACTGGGATACATCCATACTATCTGTAAAAGAAGGGGGGGGGAATAAGGAATTTATTTCAATTATCAGTAGACCATCAATTCCGACACTAATGGTAGAAGCTAAACAAATTGTGTCCCCCCCATCATTTCAATATTTTGTGCAGTACTTCAGCAGCAAAACACAGGAGTTTTATCCTTAATCATTAACCACTGAGTTTAAGATGCAATAGTTTCACCCTCTAGTCATTCTTATTGAATAAACATGGGCCAAATCTTGTTGCCCAACGTAGTAAATGGCATTAAAGTAGGCTCACTGAATCAACAGAGATTTTGTCAGTCAACTCCTCCATAAACTCACCTGATTCAAATACGCCTACTCTAACTGTAATTTACTATGTTATTTGTAAATCATATTAAGAAACACCACACAAATTTAATTCTCATCCCACACTACATACAGGTTGATTTAATTACATGTATATTTCACCGGCTCTCCAATCAATAATGAAGTTTATGTGTATCTCTTCTTCCCCAACTGAAGAATGCAGGTCAGCATGCATCACTCTGCACACACGCACACACAGAGTTTTGAAGGATATGTCCAATGGAAAAATAACTATGTCCAAGGCCACCCAGCAAGCTTTGTGACTAAAGTGGCCATAGTGTTTTAACAGGTGGAAGACAACAAATAGGCTAATACAGGCAGCTCTATGGTGGCCAATTAATCATTACACTTGAACCTATACCCTTTATGAAGTGTTACTGAGTTGCTGATGGCTGTCTTTTTGAGACAGGTTTGGATGTTTTGCACTGCTATCACAAATATGTCTGATATTACTCTGTACTGTTTCTCATTTTAATTGTCTGAAATTGGTTTAATCATATCTCTAAGGAGAAAAGAGTGTGTGCGTGATCGGGGTTCTCGTTAAAAGTCCAGCAGTTCCTCTTCTCTGATGCCATTAAACACAGGAAACATAATGTTATTTAACAGAACGTTTACTATCAGAAGAAGGGGATGGGTGTACAATAACTTCTGTGGGTCCACAAAACTGTTTAACATAGGTGAACCAGTCCACAACATACAGTGGTGCCTCGTTTAATTATTACCTCATTAAATGATGAAACTCCAGTCGCGCCACCTTCCTCCAGGGACCCTTCCCCCTCAGGTAGACGTAGACTGTCCATTTGAGTGGGTCCAGTTCCCCCAATTGTACTTCTAGCCCTGTTGTTCCATGACTGTGTATAGGCTGACCTGCCCTAACCCTGTCTCTTTCCTCCCTTTTGGGGAAAGAACACATAAGCTTCCTCTCCTTCTTTAGGTCTTTCGCTGTTTTTTCTTTCTTCCTCCTCCTTCAGATCTATCCACTCCTCTGACCCTCAACTCCTTTCCTGCCTTTTCCTCCTTGTCATCAGGAAACCCTCTACTACTGGCTGTTCTTCACCTACCTTTTCTTTAGCCTGCTCACCCTCAAGAGATACCGCCTGCACTCCTTGAGTTAACCCACTTAACGCAGTGTCGCCCCCACTTGCCCGAGACGATGGAGGGGACGGCTCACTTCCAACAACATCCGCTTTTATCTGCTCCTCCTTCACAGTGTGCTACCCTTTTTGTAATGATAGGCAGTAGAAAGTATGATTATGGAGGCAGATCAGGACAACAGAGAGGAAAAGTATGGAAACATCTTGTGGATATGTTCCTTCTGTCTACCAAGACTGACAAGACTGTTCCAATGGAATCCCCATGAGGTAATAAAAATGCTACTGTTGGATGTCAGATACTTTAATCCTGGATGAATGACCTAATCTGGTCTACCTGTCATCTGCTGAAATCAAAACCTGGCTAGACAAAAAAGCGCGCTGCTTATGGGGTTGGTCAATTTGGCTCAATTGTGCTCCTCAAGTTTTTGAATACATCAGAAGGCAAGATCCAGTGTGTGGGGGGGAGGCAATCACAGTAATGTACAGCGAGTCATTTCCTCTACAAATTACCTATTGTCCAGGAATCTCCAAGATCTGCACACATATACAGTGGTGCCTCGCATCGCTAAACGGGACTAAAACATCGCTAAACGGGACTAAAAACATCGCTAAACGGGACTAAAAACATCGCTAAACGGGACTAAAAACATCGCTAAACGGGACTAACATCGCTAAAACATCGCTAAACGGGACTAAAACATCGCTAAATGGGACTTAAAAAGCCATAGAAACGCATTGAACTTTGTTCAATGCGTTCCTATGGCTTGAAAACTCACCGTTAAGCGATGTTTCTCCATAGCGCCGCCATTTTCGCGCCCTCGGTAAGCGAGGGCAGGGCGCGAAAATGCGGCGCGGACCTTCCGGCGGCCATTTTGGAACCGCCGATCAGCTGTTCTACCCCGCTTCATTTTGCGAAGATCGCTAAGCGAATCGCTTAGCGATCATCGCAAAGTGAAAAATCGCCATAGGGGCCATCGCTGAGCGAACGCTCCAGCGATGGCCTGGACCCCCTCGCTATGCGAATTCATCGCATAGCGAAGCACTCGCTAAGCGAGGCACCACTGTACTTGTTTGTATGGCTCAGATTGGGACTGAGATTCTTTTGGAATGATGACAACCACACCAGCCCAACCATATCCCTGTAAGAGGACTAAAAGTGGCCTTGCAGACACCATTATTCAACATTCATGTCAAATACCCCATACATACAGCAGCTCTGGATATCACAGCTTCAACAGTAACTATGGGCCTGTCCCAAATTAACATTTAATTCTAGACATCTGTCAGACTGCACATTCTTGACTTGGTGCCTGCTGGGTAGGATGAAAGTGATCTGTTGGCAGGTGAGTTTGAGAGAACCTCACTGTCACAGGCAGCCTGCAACTTGAAAGTTCATGGCTCATAAACTCTGTGGGGAGGGCAGCAAGTTTACCATCCACTCTGAGAAACTATCATACTCTTATTCAGAAAAATCTTAAATTTGCTAGGGGATTTAACTACCATTACAGCTGATAATTCTGTTACTGCCTTGGCTGCTCTGTGGCATGAGGAGATGAGGCAAGAAGCTAACCCTACTGTTCCCAACTACCCTTTTTGATTTGTGTAGACACCAAGGGAATGGAAGTTTGCTGCAAGCAATGGTGGAGAAAGATGTGCAATCAACCCAGGAGTCCATGTTCATGTCTACTCTACGGCAATAAAGGTGGCAAAGCTATTTTCTCTGCACCATTGCACAAGCACAATGATATCCAATGGAGTAAATAAAATAGAATAGAATAGAATAAAACTTTATTACAGTCTAAGACACATATCCAATGGAGTTATTTCTAGTTGGTGAAGCAGCTCTTACACTCTGGACTCCATAATACTCTGGATGCCTTAGCATCCATCTGTGAAAAGCTTTCATGTTGCCGATAAGATAATTTGTATTTCCTCCAAATTAAAACAAGTTCTCTGTCTATGACTGAAGAGTATGCCTGTCTAAATGCAACAGATTAAGAGATGTTCGCCCTTTGGATGACCAAATGTTCAGTGCTTCCCAGCCCCACCTCCTCCAACAGGCACTCACTCAGAGGCAGCATCCAGAGGAGTTGGGAAACAAAAGCAAGGGCACTGTCTCTGAGTGGGCACCTGCAAGGAGGAGGCAGGGTTGGGAAGCACCAAACATCAGTTTGTCTGAAGGATTAAATGGCACAACTCGCCAAACTGGCACTTTGTGCCCATCTCTACAACAGATTACTGTATTTCTATCTTATTCTGCCTGAGGATATACAGAGGTCTTATATTGTTTTATATTATTACTGAAACAGCGATGTCTATGTTGGCTTGGGCATGTCGTGAGAATGGCTGATGGTCGGATCCCAAAAGATCTCGTGTACAGCGAATTAGTGCAGGGAAAATGCCCCAGAGGAAGACCGCAACTGCGATACAAGGATATCTGCAAGTGGGATCTGAAGGTCTTAGGCATGGACCTCAACAGATGGGAAATATTGACATCTGAGCGTTCCGCCTGGAGGCAGGCGGTGCATCACGGCCTCTCCCATTTTGCAGAGACACTTGTCCAGCAGGCTGAGGCAAAGAGGCAGTCCCAACAGCAGCAAAATCAGGGAGCTGGACAGGGGACAGACTGTATTTATCTTCAGTGTGGAAGGGACTGTCACTCTCGAATTGGCCTTCTCAGCTGCACTGAGACGCTGTTCCAAGTCCTCCATTCAAAGCATGTTACCATAGTCTCTTGAGACTGAAGGATGCCTAATCACTAAAAATATTGTTTAGGGAGAAGCACAGCCTATTACCTATCAACTGGACCCTTGTCCATACTGGCTGGTAAATGTGAACAGTGCTGGACAATGGTATAATGGAACATGTAAATGCTTCTTTGAAAAAGATTGTTGTCCCACTTTCCTAAAAGAATCTACTGTAATTATTGAAGACACTACTCTTAAACTCTTCTATTCTGCATAATAAGAATCCAGTGTCCACTTTTTCTGAATAGGGTCCAAATTTTCGTGGGGATAACTGTTTGTGGATTCTTTCCAGTTTGGGGTCAGGACTGGTTTGATGGATTGGACTTTGTTGATATCCTTTCTGGGGCACCGGATAGGAGGAGTATATCTCTGTTGGACCTTTTCACAACACTTGTTAGTATTCACTGTGGTATTCTTCTGGGACAATTAGCCAGTATAGGATTTGAAAGAACAGTGGCTCTGGTCCAACAGGCTGAGAGACTCCATACAGTGGTACATATGAATTATTGCTTGATTCCTTGGCTGTTGATCTATGATATCTCTTTGGGTTTGACTGCCTCCTCACTGATGTTTTAAAAACACCTACACCTGGAAGGGGATTGGGATCAGGTTTCATATCTATGCTGACAATACCCAGATCTACCTCACTTTTTAAAACAATGCCAAAGAACAGTGAAAACTATGAACCATTACCTGGATAATGGAAAGTACATGGACTAACAAATTGGGCCTTAGTCCTAACAACCAAGGTCTTGGTAGAGGATGAGAACCAGACACTCAGATATAACCTCCCCCCAAAGAGATCAAGTAGGCAATTTGGGGTGCTTCATGTTGTGATATGGCAAGATCCAACATTCTACCCATTGTGGATTAATGTGCTTAAAGACTTCACCTGTCCCTTTTTTCACTGAGGCTCTATAAAAGGGGATTGTTTTGTCTCTCTTTCAAACTCACACTTCACTGGTGCTGATTTACTGAGCGAGGCAGAGACCATGTGTGCTTGCCTAAGTTTGTGGGCATTGCTTGAGCTGCCGCCACCCTACTTGCTTTTACTGTTTGGTATACTTTGTTATGTAGCTTTAGTAGTTTTATTGTTTTCTTAGGATGTCCCATTTACCTTTTCCTAAGAGAATTATATAAAGATTATTACTTAAACTTTGTCTCAGTGTCTCAAATTTTCCCCTCACTCCAGAGTTCAGCTTTCCTTCTGGATGCCCAGGTGACAATTGCTGCCTGGAGTGTCTTTGTCTAGATTTAAGCTGGTATGCCAGTTGCATTGTTTCTTGGAAACAATCTGGTCATGGTGATGTATGCCTTAGTTACTTTCCACTTAAATTTCTGTACAGACACTATGAACCATCAGAAAGACAAACAGGTGAATCCTAGATCAAATAAAGCTTTAAATTCCCCCTAGAAGCAAAGCTGACTGAACTGAGGCAAGCATACTCTGGGCGCTTCACAAGAATAATCCAAAAAGACAATAATGTTGGGAAAAGTTGAAGGAAAAAGGAAAAGAGGAAGGCCACACATGAGATGGACTGACTCAATAAGGGAAGCAGCAGGCCTTGGTTTGGAAAAGCTGAGCAGGGCTGGCAAAGACAGGATATTTTGGCGGTCATTAATTCATAGAATCACCATACATTGGAAACAATTTGATGGAACATAATGACAAGAAACATGCTCTCCATGGGCTGTCCACGAAGATTGTTCAGAAACTACATGTAGTGCAAATACTGCGGCTAGACGGCTTTCTTGTGTATTTTGTAGAGCATGTTACGCTAGTTTCGTATCATAAGCACTCATTTTTGGTATGTTTTCAAGCACGATTCAAGGTGCTTGTCCTTACCTACAAAGTTCTAAAAGTCTTCGTTGGAATCAGGCTGTCTGAAAAACTGCCTCCTCTTGCCTGTAATTTTGCAATCTATGTCAGAAATGCTGTTGCATCTACCACAACTGAAAGTGGTGAGAAGTGTCAAAATGTGCAACAGAATCAATTTTTATGATTCAGGAGAAGAGAACTTTCCTGAGAAACTTTTTCTCTTCATAGGTTATTAAGCTTTAGACTGTACTCTTGGCTGCAACTCTACTTTTACAATGGATAATTAAAAAAGAAATAGATGTAAAGAACCATATATGATTATAGGGAGAAAAGAAATAATCCTCAATATGGCTTTTCTTCCAGAAATGTAACCATCTATGAACATGGTATCAGCCAAGCTGTGCTTTGTTGCCAACTAAATCCTGCTCAGCAAATTTCTAAGGGTCGAAAGCAATAATACTCAAGACAACAGAGTTCAAGACTACTTTTGTGTCTGCAAGAGCAGATCCAGGATAAAAACAACAGGAACTGGTTGTTTTAAAATAAGCAGTGGTTTCTCTTACCAGGCAGAGAAGGAATGGCTGCCAAGGTTGATGAAATGAGGCATCCATATATCACTTTCATCATGAAGGAGCAATATTATATTTCCCTACTGGTCAAAATGGCATCTAAACTTCCCGTACACCTATCAGCTATGGAGCATAGAAACAAACACTTACCACAAGAATTCTGAAAGCCTGGTAGATTTTGCAAGACTTCAAATGCTTCTCCATGCCGACTCTTTGTAATATATTCAGATGCTATTGTACACAGCAGATTATGTCGACTAAGGACATCCATTCTATTGCACGGCCATGACAGGGAATTTATTACCCACTCTGATTCTAAAGAGATTGATAATGATATTTTAAAGCTGTTAAATTATAATCATGAATATTGACAAAAGAAGGATCACAGGGCATATTTCTCAACAATGTGAAGCCACATCCCCTCTCTAACCATCTACTGTATATAAAGGTATTACCTACCCATTTAATAATTTGCACATGGGCAACTGGCTATTTTTTAACATTTTACTATATAAAATACCCAGAATGTTAAGGATCTTCAACTAGAGCCAGATGCCAATACCCAGGAGGTACTGTGCCATGCTGAGGACCACATCTTCCTCCACCCACCAGATAACACTCTGAATTGGTTTCCATTGACCTTCCCTCTCTGCCCCGTTCAGTGTGCTACTATATATTAAATAATTTATATAACAAAAACTATCATGTTTCTGGGTATTTCTACTCCCTGGAAAAGTAGCAGCTGCATGCTTTGATACATTGCAATGAAAAATTCAGAATGATTAGTGTCTCTGTCGACAGAAATGAAGACAGACAACTGATTCTGCATCCCAGGGTGAATTCTGATATTACAAAGCCACCTTAAACAACCCAGTTTGCAAATTCCATCTTGAGACTTAAGTTGAACAATAGATCCTGAAGCTCCAACTACTAGGCAGAATGATTCCAAATTCTTGTCCATTGCCCTCCTCCAACTCTACAATGCCTAGATTAATGAAAGCTTCCGTCGTGCTGAACCGGTCCCTTATTTCTGCTATTTTATTGGTCCAAAAAAGTATTATCCATGCCTGGTTTTGGATCTCATTCTGCCAGGAGCTGAGAGATCATATGGTTCAAAATAACATCACTATGAAGTCAGAAGGATTAGTGTCCTACGTCCATGGACTTTATCTTCTGGGTAAAAAGAAGTTATTTACCTGTAACTCTGATTCTTTGAGTGGTCCTCTGTGAACTTACACTAATGGGTTAACCTGCGCCTGAGCAGAGCCGTCCTGGAAACTTCTATAGCTTTAAGCACTTGGTGCCGGGACCTTCCCCATCGGCTATATCACCGCCCCCGGCACCCAGTGCCTCAGTTCCATAGAAATGTCCACCGCTGTACAGTATATCAACAGGCAGTCGTGACATACAACGGAGAGGGGGGCGGGACGTGTGAATTCACAGAAGACCACTAGAAGAACCAGAGTTACAGGTAAGTAACTTCTTTTTCTCTTTCGTGGTCTCTGTGAATGCACACTAATGGATGACTAGCAAGCTGACTTACCAGGAGGTGGGCGTCACAACAGGACAGAAGCCAGCATGGCTCTTCCCACAGCAGCCTCCGCCTTGGCCCAGACATCAAGGCAATAGTGAGTTGCAAAGGTGAAGGACGTAGACCAGGTTGCAGTCTTGCAGACATCAGTGAGGTCAACACCATGAAGGAACGTGGTGGAGGAGGCAACTGCTCTGGTCGCATGGGCTCGAACAGCGGAAGGCAAAGGCTTGTGAGCAATCTCATACACTAGCTTGATTGTAGCAACCACCCATCTGGAAAAGGTTTGAGGAGAAACCGGGGATCCTTTAGATTGCCCTTAAAACGACACAAAAAGTCTCTGAGAAGAATGAAAAGACTCAGTCCTGGAAATGTAGTAGGCCAGGACCCTCCTGACATCCAGGGAGTGGAGTGATTTTTCCAGATTAGTCGTAGGGTTAGGAAAAAATGTAGGAAGGAATACCGGCTGATTGAGGTGGAAAGATATGGCCACCTTTGGAAGAAAGGAGACATCTGGAAAAAAGGTGACCTTGTTAGGATGGAATTGTATGAAGGACGGGTCTACCTGCAGTGCCATCAGCTCACTTGCACGCCTTGCCGAAGTCACCACAAGGAGGAAGGCTGTCTTGAAGGTAAGTAGTATCAATGACATTGTGGCCAGAGGTTCGAACAGCAGAGACATCAACTTACAGAGGACAAGTTGGAGAGACTACTGTGGCATGGGAGGCTTGTAGGCTGGGCACATGTCGCGGAGGCCCTTCAGGAACTGTTTCAACGTTGGATGTTGAAACAATTTGGCTGCATTAGAAAGAGGAGGCTGATATGCCACTATTGTGGAAATGTAGACTTTCAAAGTAGAATGTGACAAGCCATGCTGGAAGAGGAGGAGAAGGAACCTCAAGAGAGTGTCCAATGATAGGGCACACAGGTAAGTTGTGTTCAGCTGCAAAGTCACAGAAAGATTTCCACTTCCACGTATAAGTAGCCAAAGTGGAAGGCCTACGGGCTCGACTAAGGACCTCCTTTATCGAAGGTCCAGTCTCCAAGCTGTGAGATGCAGGGAGTCTTGATCCGGATGGAGCATCCTGCCATTGTGGACGGAGAGATGAGGAAGGTTCGGGATTAAAAAATTAAACCAGGGTTAGCGAGACCACCAGGGAGCAATGAAGATGGCATTCGCTCGGTCCTGGCGGATCTTGATGATTGTCTTCTGAATCAGAGGGATAGGAAGAAACATGTACAGAAGTCCTGTGCAAGGGACTATGAATGCATCCCCCTCTGAGTGGCTCCCTGCAGCAGCCTGGGAGCAGTACCTGTTCCATTTGTTGTTCATGGCAGAAGCAAACACATCCAGGCATGGAGCGCCCCATCTCCAACAGAGGGAGTGGAAGACTGCATCGTCCAGAGACCACTTGTGATTGCAGTCCAGGGATCGACTCAGACAATCTGCGAGGAGACTGTCGGTGGAAGCTACATGTACCTCAATCAGGAAGATGTGATGTTTGTAGCAGCACTCCCAGACCTGGATTGTGAGATACAGAAGACGTTGGGACCGTGTTCCTCCTTGCTTGTTGAGGTAGTACACTACTGTGGTATTGTCGGATACTAACCGTACTACCTTCCCCGTGAGGAGACGCTTGAAGGCCCGAAGAGCTTTGAAGACAGCTAGGAGTTCCAGAACACTGATGTGAAGACAAGTTTCTTCTGGAGTCCAGTGACCATTCACTGTCAGGTCCAGGATGTGTGCTCTCCAGCCAGTCGTGCTGGCATCTGTGGTGAGCTGGATCGATGGCTGAAGGGGGCCAAAGGGTCTGCCCACTAGAAGATTCGAACGGAGGGACCAACAAGTTAGTTGCTCTGCCAGTTCCTCTGAAAGTGTAAGTGTCTTGGAAGATGGGTCGGTCAGAGGGTCGAACAAAGCCAGGAACCATGCTTGGAGGGACTGCATCTTCAGCCTGGCATGTTGAATGACCACCGTGGTGGAGGCCAGGAGGCCTAATAGGCACTGAACCAGCAGGGCCTGGAGTCTCACCCCTCCAATGAAGTGAGGAAGCAACTGCTGTATCTTCAGAATGCAGCTTTCTGGAATAAAGGCATGGCCTGACACTGCAACCAGGACACCCCCAATATAAGTTACATTCTCAGTAGGAGTCAATGTGGATTTTCTTGCTTGACCTGTAAACCAAGTTTAGACAGGAGGAACAGTGTAAAGTTGGTAAGAGCCTTAGTGTGCGCACGAGGCTGGCTGATGCCCCTCCCCAGACAAAAGGGGCAGTTCGAATGGCCGTCCCTCGAAGCCACTTTAGTGTTGCAAGCTATGCAGCGCTTGAACGGTACTTCAGAGGCCATACACCCAAGCTCAGTTTTATGCTTCAAGTCCAACTCAAAAATCAGAAGAGAAAACAGTCCAGTCCGAGGTTCAAACGAGGGAGGTCCAATATAATCTTTCTTTAGGAAAGGGAACAAACAAACTTAGAAGCTCCGAACAATGCTGCTATGGCAGCGGCAGGAAATGGAACTGAGGCACTGGGTGCCGGGGCAGTGATATAGCCTAGGAGGGAGGTCCTGACACCGAGTGCTTAAAGCTATAGAGGTTTCTGAGGATGCTCTGCTCAGTTGCAGATTAACCCAATAGAATGCATTCACAGAGGCCACGAAGGAGAACTACTGCTGAAAACATGCCACTGGAAGTGGCTCTTCAACGAGCAGAGCAGCTGGGATGTCTCTTCCTTAACTGGAGAAAAGAAATCTAAGAACCAAGCACACCAAGGCAGCATTTCTAGAGCAGCTTGCTTATGCTGTGGAGAAGGCATTTATTTCATCCTACAGAATGGCAGGGACGTGGTGGCATTGCGGGCTAAACCACAGAAGCCTGTGCTGCAGGGCCAGAAGACCAACAGTCGTAAGATCGAATCCACATGATGGACTGAGCTCCCGTCGCTTTGTCCCAGCTCCTCGCCAACCTAGCAGTTCGAAAGTATGTAAATGCAAGTAGATAAAGAGGTACCATCTCGGTGGGAAGGTAAAACGGCTGGCCACGTGACAACGGAAACTGTCTTCGGACAAGCACTGGCTCTACGGCTTGAAAACGGGATGAGCACCGCCCCCTAGAGTCGGACGTGACTGGACTAAAAATGTCAAGGGGAACCTTTACCTTTTTATAGAATGTGGCATAATGATTAGATAGAACTGTTGTGATATAAAGAGGTGAGCCATGGATTAGTATTTCTTCATCTAATACAGTTTTCAAAGAGATAGCTGTCTTAATCTGCTTCAGTGAGTTATCACAAAACAAGAACAACAGCATGGTAGTACCTTTAAGGCTAACAGATTTACTGTATTTGTGTGTGAGCTTTCATGGATTACTATTGACTTGTGTCTGATGAAACTGATTTTATCTATGAGGGCTCATGCTGAAAGAAGTTTTAGTTTTAAAGGTGCAATAGTGCTTTTGTTTTTGTGATCTGGAAAGCATCAGGTCCATGAAGAATAATGTAACAGAACATGCATCTTTTAAAATATCAAATTTTGGATAACTGGCTAGTCTTCTCTTTCTTTTATACTGGATTACCTTAAGTGCATTTTAATTATTTTTCAAAAGTGTACTAGCAAATTATTAAAAATTAGAAGATGTGAACCTTTTGTCCTTCTTTGCTCCCAATCTTTTTGTGTCATATTTTTAGATTATAAATGTGTGGACAATGACTATCATTTTTATTGCCTACATATGCACCATTCTGGGTGCCTTTTGGGATAAAAGTGGGTAGAAATGCTTTAAAATACATACATATTTATTCTCTTAGCATATGTTCTTGCTGTAGAATTAAACTCTTAGCAACCGAATCTAAAAACGTGTTATTTCCTGCCATGGTTATTTCTGTTAATAAAAAAAAGTTACCTCTCAATACCCATATTGCTCCATCTAGGCTCCCACATTTGAGAAATATTTCCACAGCAACATTTACAATGCAACATCTTGATACCAGTCTCTCCGGACCAAGAAGTCCTTTCAAAAATGTGAAAGGTATCTTTAAAGTATGAAGGACATCCAGAACCTTCCTGGCCTATGAGACAAAAGTGGGAATATAGGATTGTTTGCCACAGATCACTTGTTGAAGTATAGTGCTCTACATTCCTAATTGTTTCTTCTTAACAACTGTTTAGCTCCAGAACTAGTAATGCTGCCCAAGTCTGAACATGATGGTTCTGAAATACAGTACCAGTTTACAGCTCCTTAATACTTCCAATAGGAATGCTCTTCTGATTATAACTGAATCCATAATGAAACAACCACACATCATTCACACAATCTGCATTTTTGCACTATGAATCCAGAAGGTGACTGTTATAATAGTGCATATGTTCAAGAACTGTGAGAATTAACTGGATATTCTACAAATGGATATGTAATTTACCCAATAGCAATCTGTCTCCTGAATTTTAACTTAATTGGTAGTGAATATCTAAGTTAGAAAAAATGAAATAAGGAGGTTACCCACTTGTACCCATAGTTCTTCTAGTGGTCCTCTGTGAATTCACACAAATGGGTTGTTCTGCGACTGCGCTGAACGTCTTGGAAGATTCTAGAGCTTAAAAGTATAAAGATAGTGGGAGTCCCCTAGTGGAGTACATGCTCCACCCACCCAAGATTCCCCATAGTTTCTAGAATTTGTCCGCCGGGCAGAAGAATGATTTAATATAACCCATGATGGACAGAGGGGAGGATGGGTGGGATGGGTGAATTCATAGAGGACCACTAGAAGAACTATGGTTGCAAGTAGGTAACCTCCTTTTCTTCTCCGTGGCCTCTGTGAATGCACACAAATGGGTGACTAGCATGCTTCACTTACTGGATGGTGGATGGACGTCACGGTAGGAAGGATGCCAAAACAGCTCTGCCAAATCCAGCATCATGTTGCAGCACGACAGATGTTAGGTATTCTCAAATCCATGCTGGAAGGCAGTAGATGTTGACAGCACTCCAGTGGAATGTGCACTGAAATGATCAGGGGGTGGTTTGCCTGATAGTTCATATGCCAGAGAAATGGTTTGGAGTATCCATCTGGAAATGGATTGTGATGAGGCTGGTCCTCCCTTGTGAGGTCCGTGGAAACACAGGAAAAGTCTGTTAGTTTTCCTGAAAGCCTTAGTTCTGTCAATATAAAATGCAAGAGAGTGTCGTGGAGCATGTGATCTAGGGGTGATGGAAAGAAAGATGGCAATATATAATTGGTTGATTTAGATGAAATTCTGATACAATCTTGGGCAGAAAAGAGACATCAAAATACAAAGTCACCTTGTCTGGTTGAAACTGGACAAAAGGTGGATCAGAATGAAGAGAGGCAAGTTCACTGGCTTTTTTAGCAGAAGTTATAGCTACTAAGAAAGATGTCTTTAGAGAAAGTAATTTAAGATTTGAAGAGGCCATTGTTTCGAATTGTGGGAGCACAAGAGCATTAAGGACAATTTGTAGTAACCACTGGAGTATGTATGTATGTATGTATGTATGTATGTATGTATGTATGTATGTATGTATGTATGTATGTATGTATGTATGTATGTATGTATGTATACATTCAATGAAATAACTGTTTTGTATAATGGAAAGAACCCAATGGTCATTAGTAATTCGGCGCCAGAAGCTGAGGAAAGGATGTAATATAGTTTGAAATGACAAAGACAAGGGTCTATTGATATTGCTTACCCTTTTTTGTGGGTGTTGAAAGGGTTGTCAACGTGTCTGTTGCTGTTGGGGATGAAAGGCAGGTGCTGAGTGGATGATGATGGACTGGGGTAAGGCTGGTCAGAGACTTGCGGTTTGTATGTTCCATATGGTTGTTGGTAAGACTGAAAAGGCTGTTGGAAAAAAGGCTGTTTGCGAAACTGGGGGTGCTGGTAGTGGTACAGTTGTTGAATAGAATATGAGTGTGCTGTCTTCTAGATTTTATGAAGTTTTGGCATTGAAGAGGCCAGTGCTGTCAAATGGAAGATCTTCAATTCTTGACCTAGTATCATCTGAGATGTTGGCGAATCTGAGCCAGGCACGATGCCTCAAAGCGATAGAAGTGGCCATAGCCTTAGACACAGCGTCTGCAGTATGATGGGAAGAAATTATTTGTTGTTTAGCTAAGGTCGTGGTGTCAGCATAAACATTGAGAGCTTCAGATTTGGAGGCATCCTACCAATTTAAGAATTGGTAGGATTTTGTTCCATAGTTGCCTATAGTATGCACCCATTGCTGCTTGGTAGTTTACGACTCTCATCAGAAAGGATGTAAGAGAGTAAAGGCGTCTGCCTAGGACGTCAAATTTCCGTCCTTCCTGGATGGTAGGGGCTACAGATGATTTATTCCACACTCGATTGATTAGACTCAACTATGATTGAATTCGGTGTGGAGTGCTTAGAAAGAAAGGCTGTATCCGGACCATGTGATTTATAATGATTCTCTATGCATCTGGAAATTTGTAGTGATGGAGGCTTATCCCATGATTGTTTGTCCAACTCTAACATTGCAAGAATGAAAGATAGGCTGAGAGGGGGTGTCTTATCTTGATTGAGATCGTCGAAGACCAAATCTTTTTTCTGATGTGGTGGCTCTTCGACATCTAGTTCTGAACATTTTGCCATTTGGGTGAGGAGCTGGGAGTAAGATATGAAGTCCTTTGATGGGGATGGTTTTTGGCAATATCAGAAGAAGGGGTGGGCAAATTAGATGGTGATTCTTGAGAAATGCCAGATGTGGAGTCTTGGGCGGAGAGGTGTCAGAAGATGTTGATCGGCATGGTGGTTTTGTGGTTGATGCCGATGACTGAGATGGTAGTGGCAGCTGTAGAGTTGGAGATATGTGTGGTATCGGGCACTGTTTGATGTCAGGAGGAGGAGGTCCTTTGTAGGTGGCAGTAACTTGAATAGACGTATGGTGTCGAGATTGTTTGGAGGGCTATTTGGCCCGTTTAGATTGAGGCTGAGAAGGCATTAGAGGCACAGTGTGCTTAAGAGCTGATTTGGTAGGGATCAACATTTGGTGAGTCGATGCCCGATACATAGTAGAAGGAGACCGGTATCGATGTCGAGGTGGTGAAGGCAACACAGAAGGTGAATACTGAGGTGGATAGGTGTTATCTCACTCTCTTACGTTCAACATAGTACAGCTGTTCTGTCAGATCATCAGGATAATAGGGGTCGTATTGATGGTACTGATCACCATATTAGTCTCTAGAAGAATATCGAGATGGTTCAGGATAATAATAAAACTCCCTGTGAGGGGGGTCATGATGAAAAGAGGAGAGGTGCTGTCTCTTTTCCCTGTGTTTTCGGGAAGAACAATGAGACGACTCCAAGCCAGAAACTTGAATAGGTACTGCCCGCCCTGGTGATCTAGTGCAGTGGTTCTTAACCTTGGGTTACTCAGGTGTTTTTGAACTGCAACTCTCAGAAACCCCAGCCAGCATAGCTGGTGGTGAAAGCTTCTGGGAGTTGCAGTCCAAAAAGACCTGAATAACCCAAGGTTAAAAACCACTGATCTAGTGCTTGAATGGGCCAAGGCCAGGCTGGAATGAACATCAATCAGAGATAGGCCAGTACTTGGTGAGAGGCTGTAGCCTGGGCCAGTGTCAAAGTTGGGCCATCTCTATCCGAGATTGAACCTGAGGCATCTCTACATGACTCCTCCAGAATTGGCGATGAAAGTACTGACTGGGGTTGGTCTATCTGAGCCGATTTTGTAGACTTCTTAGATTTAGGTTTGTCTTTCTTAGAGGAATCATCTGGTCGGGTTGTAGCCCTCGACGTTGAGGTTGATTCTGGAGCCGACTTAGTTTGATCCTTCTGTCGGAGTGGAGGGGTTGTCAGGCTTGATGCCAATTGAGAAGCCTCACGGCGCTCTGGACACAGGGACATCACCGGATACATGTGAGTGGGATTAAGAGATTTCTCCCAGAGGTAAAAACGGAGTCTTTGCAGCCGCAATTTAAGTGTGGGCTTTGTGAATTTCTTACTCTCAGGACAGGCGTTTGGTCTGATGCTGCTCTCCAAGGCAGAAGAGGCAATGATCGTGACAGTCTGTGAGTGGGATTTTATTCGGATAGAGCACGCACCAGTTGAAAGGCCCTGGAGGGGCCATAAAAGGTAGGGAAAGGGGGAAAGGAGAGGCAGTGGGGGTCATGGAGAGAGAAATTGTGGGAAAAGGAGCAAAAAGACGATTTAGATAATCAAAAAAGGAAGTAAAAATACTAACAGAAAATGTCCAACAAAAGAGCTGATTAAGGAAAAAAGATAAAAGGAATGATCTCACGAGTACAATCGAACAATAGTTCTAGTGTTGCGAAATAGGTCCACAAGGCAAAAAGGAACTGTGGGGACTTCTGGCAGGTGGAGCATGTGCTCCACGGGGAATGTCCTACTAATCACATGTCTTTAAACTCTAGAAACATCCGAGAGGTCCTGCGTAGGCGCAGAACAACCCAATTGTGTGTATTCACAAGGGCCACGAAGAAGAATAATAGAATTCAACTGCAGTTTGAATTCTATTATTTCTTTCTAAATTTTGAATGGTCAATCAATGTGCGCAACTGCCAAACTTGTCCAACTTTCAAATTTGCTTTAGAGGTTTAGAGTCGGCAAAGCCACAATAGAGTAACTCAAGAACTGGAGGAGTTTTAATATAACCAATTTCATCCGTATTCACATATACCAGGTTGTAACATCTTATTCTACTCATCATGTTGCTACTTTCAAAATGTACAATAGTGGTATCAGAAGACTTCAACATACCATGTCCCCTTCCTAACAGCCTGAATTAAGCAAAAATAACAAATGTTTATGGTGATTTCTTAACTTGGGGCATTTTCCTTCCAAAAGTTACACAATTTGTGATATACCAGCCTAGCTAGGTAATAGCATTTAGGCTGGCAAGTCTACTTTTTTCCAAGTTATTTCAGTTAAAAATCTTATACAACTTAATAAAATACCTTTAGCCATTGCTGCTTTCTGTAATATGAAAACATAACACTGATCCCAATCCTTCCCAATAATGTTCTGTCAGCTTCATTGTGATATGCATCCGCATTAACTAGAAAAGAGAAGTAGCAATTGTTACTATAGATTTTTAGAACTGTGTAAATAGAGCGAAGTGTTCATATAACACAACATATTTGAAAGTAGTTGTCCCCCATTAAACTTCTCCCTACAAGGAGAAAGCTGACACAGAATTTTAAAAATACATAATATTTAAAGTATCTACATGACCAGAGTCTTCTTACTTTTACCTACCAACATAAATCAACATAAATCTCAACAATAAATTGCCACTAGTTATGAAGTTAAACACTGCATTTCCTGTCACACAAGAGACATCTGTTTTGTTGTATGACAGGAAATACAACCTCCAACTTCTTAACTAGTGTCAAATTGCTGCTGAAATTTATGCTGATAGACTTCAGATGCCTTCAGTATATAGCTGAATTCTAATTAATATATTGCACTGAAGGCAACTTTCAAACTGTCAGCAAATGTATCTTCCACTAAATAAGACTGTAAGAATTCAACATCATGAAGGCAAATATGCTGCACTTAGATAAATATTCTGGCCAGAGGCAGCAGGAAGGAATGTGTATTTAAAGTTAAGACATCCCAAATATGCCACCAATTAATTTAAATCATTTGTTTCGACCAAGGTTGGGGCTGTGTGGAGCCAATACTTGAGACTGCATTGAACAAACAAGTAATTTGTTCTGCTGGGACAGAGAGAATCTGCCTATGTTTATGGCTGTTTCTCCAGGACTGAGAGGAAAAGGTGGTAGCAAAGCGTGTAAACAATGTTTTGCAGTGTTGAAAATTTGGATGGTGCACTGCTGGTCTTTTGCCAACTAGTTGTGACCTATAAATATGTGACTTAATGATTCGGTTAAAGCTCTACTAGAGAATCAGAAACAGATTAATAAGCTGGTTCCTTCCTACACTGCAGAACAAGTAAGAGAAGAAGGCAGGCAGGTGGAGGACATGAAGAGGATGCCTTGGAGGACTTGAACTAGAGGACTTTCCCCTAGGCTCTCCTTTATCTTTTCCTCCTGGCTTGTACGTACTTCTCTGAACCTTACTTGCCTGTTCTGCTGTTTTTTAACAGTTAAATTCTTCACATGCCAATGCACTCAGAAGAGGCAATGAAAGATTATTGAATCATTGAGCTCTTGTAGATGGAGCATTTGTCCCCCTCTCCATATCACTTCGTACTGCTTGGTGCCAATGAAGCATGAAGTTAACCAGGATTTGTATCCAATCATCTCTTTTAAAATCCATTTTTCTTTTGTTTGTGAAAGTCACTTCTCTTTAAGAAATCATTATCAAATTCATTAAGAAATCTACTTCTTTGCCTGAGCTTCCCTGCAATGCTTTTTCTTCTTTGTGTTAAATGAAAGTTTAGGGAAGCTCTCCCCATTGTCATGAACTTAAATGGGAAATGGCATAGAATAAATACTCTGAGAACAATGCAGTCTTAAAAATAGGTCACTTTTTAGCATAGACTAAAAGTAGTAGAAAGATACAGGAAAAATGTACTATGCTAAGAAAGATAAGCCTAACAGGAAAAACACAGATACTATCAGTGGAGATCCTACTACTTTATAGAAGAAAAACAGACTGTGTGTAATAACTGGTTCTTCAAGGTTCACCTGCGAACTTACAAAGTGGTGCTTCTGTAACAATGCAGAGAATCATTGGGAACATTCTAGAACTGAGGGCTTTAGTTGGGAAACTTCGCCATTACCCACTAAATGTTCGTTCTGGGGAGTCCAGAGTAAAATTTGAAAGTGGAATTTAATGTGACACTATACCCGAATTTCATTAGAGAAGACTTGTTAAAATAATTAATACCCTGTTTCCCCTAAAATAAGACCTAACCTGAAAATAAGCCCTAATGTGATTTTTCAGGATGCTCGTAATATAAGCCCTACCCAAAAATAAGCCCCAGTTAAGTGAAACCCCACCCTCCACCATTGTGCAGCAACCAAAATAAGTATTTGAATAAATGTAGATTGTTGTGCATGAAAAAATAAATCATCCCCTGAAAATCAGCCCTAATGTGTTTTTGGAGCAAAAATTAATATAAGACCCCGTCTTATTTTTGGGGAAACAGGTTAGCAATATACTACTACTACCACCACCACCACCACCACCACCACCACCACCACCACTACTACTACTACTACTACTACACTGCCCCATAGTGCTAGAGCAACTTTACCTGCAGCTGCAAATTCACAAAAAGGAATGGCTGGCCTCTCCTCTTTGACAAAACTTGTTAGGATGTCAGCAATACACAACGAGTACTTTTCAAGATCATCAAAATTTTCGCACCGTCTCCTCAAATTAACGTACAAAGTTCCCAATCTAGCCCAGTCACCTTTTTCTTTACAATGCTGTTTGAAAAGTGACACAAATGTAAACAGAATTATTCATAATCTATAATGGCTCCAAAACAAACAATACAGTTAGTCAGTAGTTAATTTTTCTTTTAGCACAGCTGAATTCTACAGATCAGGATTTACTTGACAACTACATAACTAGGATAAGACCTTTCACAATACATAACCCAAGAGTCCAAAATTGTTGTTACACAAAAAGCTAAAAAAATTGCTTGGTAGTGAATATATTTCAAATTTTGAACAAATTAAGAATTTTGACCAAATGTTATTCAGAGTTATTGCTGTAAAATGCAGCATAATTTTCAAAATGCTCAGAGCATAAAGTAGTCTCAATTTCCTTGCCTTGTTTTGCATTTACAAGATGATATGTCAATTACCAAGGCAAAGAAGGCATCCATGATTGACAAAACAGGACACTATACATTTGAGTTTATGGAAGATAATAATAAGAGATGTCCAATGAAGCTACACCGCTAGATGTAACTAAGAGGGTAATGAATTTAAAGGTATTCATATCAACAGTAAAACTGGAAATTGACGGCTTCAAACACCATGTTGACTTTTCATATAGTGACACCAACTCCAATCCCACCTATAAAAACAGGCTCTTTTGTCTCTTACCTATGAATACTAGCAAATACTCTGTAGAATTAATAAATAAAGGTCAACTAAGGGAAGGATACACAGGAGCCATGTTACCAACTTTCAGGTCCTGAAATTTAGTTTTCACATTTAATACTTTCACATGACTTCTTTGTACAAATGAAATAATTATTTCCCTCTAGATTTTTCTAAGTTAATACCAAACAAGGGATCATACATAATTTAATCATTTAGCACCTGTCACCCAAATCTCTAGATTTCAACAGATCATAGTTTCTTACAATTTGACTATTATCATGGCATTAACTACCATCTTCCACACCTGTGTTTAAACCAAATGTATGTACTGTACCTGAAATTCTGCTACTGCGGAAGTAAAGTCACAAAGACTGGCCTTGTGCAAATACGTTCCCTGGAATCTTAGAAACAAATTTTATATAGTTACCTGTTTTGAGAAAGCTTAGCCTTATGTTTCAACATAAAAACCAACAAATCAAGCTCTAAATCATCAGCTATTTATACTTCTAATAACGTGTTATGTGCTGTCAAGTTAGAGCTTACTTACAGTGACACTAATAGGGCTTACAAAGTGAGTGAGATTTTAAAAGAGTGGCTTTACCTGGTCCATCCCAAGTGGGTTTCCATGGCCAAGCAGAGATTCAAACCTAAATCTCCTGAGTTCATCACTCTATTCACTATACTAAACTGGGTATTTATCCTCCTAATTACAGCTCCACAAAATACGCTCTTCAGTATACAATTTCACCTGTGTTATTTGTAGCATCCTTGATGCACTAGCTACGGTTTCCTCAAATTTGTCCTTTAAGCAACATGTGTTTTGTTACTTCAGATTCAGGGAAAAAACCTTTCATGGATCACTATTTTGGCCAAAGCCCAAAGGATGCTCAGCTGTGGGCGCGCCTGGAAGTGAAAGGAAAGTCCAATACTGCAAAGAAAAAAAGAGGTTACTTGCCTGTAACCATAGATCTTTGAGTGGTCCTCTGTGAATTCACACAAATGGGTCTTGTCTGCACCTGCACTGATGTTCTCGGAATATTCTAGAGCTTGAATTCATAACTTTATGGCATGATCCCCCATGAAGCACATGCTCCTACCACTCAGCACTCCCCTCAATTCCTAAACGCTGTCCACCAGGCAGAAGAGCTGTCAGATAGTTAAAATACCCGTGAGGACAGAGGGGAGGATGGGTGGGTAGTGTGAATTCACAGAGGACCACTCAAAGAACTATGGTTAAAGGTAAGTAACCTCTTTTTCTTCTTCGTGGCCTCTGTGAATGCACACAAATGGGTGACTAGCAAGCTTCACTTACCGGCAGGTGGGACGTCATGGTAGGAAAGATGCCAAAACAGCTCTGCCAAAACCAGCATCGTTGCATGCTCCCACGTCCAGCCGGTAGTGCTTCACAAAGGTTGATGGGGTGGACCATGTTGCAGCACGGCTGATGTCAGGAATCTCTGTTCCACATTGAAAAGCAATGAAGGTGGACAGCGCTCGAGTGGAGTGAGCTTTCAGCTGTACAGGTGGTGATTTTCCTGACAGTTGGCAAGCCAGATAAATGGTCTGAACTATCCACTTGGCGACAGATTTTGAAGAAGCTGGACCTCCTTTGTGAGGACCATGAAAACACGCAAAGAGCCTATTAGTCTTTCTAAAGTTCTTGGTCATGTCCAAATAAAATGCACGTCTTCCATCAATTGTATGGAGCATGTGCTCTAGAGGTGATGATGGTGATTTGAAGAATGATGGCAAAATGATAGGTTGATTAACATGAAAGTCCGATACAATCTTAGGCAGGAATGAAACATCAAAGTTAGAGTCACTTTATCGGGATGAAACTGGGTAAAGGGGGGATCAGATCGTAGAGCTGCGAATTCACTAGTTCTCTTGGCAGATGTAATTGCCATGAGGAATGCCATCTTCAGAGTAAGAAGTTTGAGGTTCGAGGAGGACATGGGCTTGAATGGAGGATGCATTTGCGCATTTAACACTATCTCTAAAGACAATAGAGGGACAATACATTGACGTGGAGGACAGATGTTATTCAGTTCTTTTTTTAAAAAAAAATTATTATAAAATACCTACTACTACAGAAAAAAACTATATAAAATACAAAACAAAACAATACAATAACATACAATTGCCCTTGTGCACCCATCACCTTCAGGACTAGCATTACACTTCTTTCCATCCATTTTCACTCCAAAATTTCATTGTTTCTTCTCTTGGCGTATATCCCCTCCCTCTCCGAAATACATGTTGTAAAAATACATTCCATATTTTCTTAAAATCGTTATTTTTCATTTGGCCTCTACTTATTTTCATACCACATGTCAGTTTGTCGTTAATTGCGATATCCCATAATTCTCTGTACCATTCCTACAAGTTAACTTGATTTTCATGTCTCCAGTTCCTTGCAATAATTATCCTTGCTGCCGTAATCATCATTACTATTAACTCCTTATTTTCTTTCACCAGATGATCTTCCTTAATCAGATTCAGTAAGGCTATTAACGGAGACATTTGAATATTCAATCCAATTATTTCAGATATTTCTTTAAATATTAATTCCCATTCTTTCTTTCTTTTTTCACATAACCACCACATATGTAAGTACGTCCCCTTCTCTTTTTTACAACTCCAACATAACATCGACACACTTTTATCCATTATATTCATTTTGACCGGCATTAAATACCCTTCTCTAATTATTTATTTATTTATTTATTGGACTAATTTATATGCCACCCACACTACCCAAAGGTGATGGTTATGTTCCCAGAAAAACATGCGAATGAAGCCAGTGTACAACGAGGATTAAAAACACAGCTTGTTTATCGTTACCTGAACAAGCAGTGTTATCGGTTAAGAGTCAGTCTGATGGAGTTTTTAACAACACGAATACTGCTGGTTGGAACAGGAGATGATGAATCTGGCAGTTCTTTACTGGGAAGACGCTAAAAAATTTAAAAAGGAATTTAGATGAGTGAAACCAAGCGTGTTGGCATAGGACAAATGTAAACCAAGATTCGTAACGCAAGAGCCAATAAAGACATCTGAAAGATGGGACAAAAATATGAATATACATATCTGCATGTTGTCAAAATATTTGGCATTTCAAAGTGTTTTTATGGGAAGAGACTATTTGCAGGATTTTATCTGGTTTCAATATTAAGACTATAAGTGATTCTCTCCATAAAAGTGGGATTTCATCTCCCTTTAATATCTTATTAAATAATTATTTTAATTTTGGTATATGGATCTTTTAAATACTTTATAATACTCTGGGCCTAATCCATCTGTTCCAGGGGTCTTTCCTACCTTTAAATTATTTGTAATTTCCTCTATTTCCTTATCCGTAATCATCTGCTCCATCATATTTTTATCATCATCTGAAATTTTCTTATTAAAATTATTTTTAATATAATCTTCAATTTTTGTTGTGGAAGGATTTTTACTACTATATAAAGTTTTATAAAACATTTGAAAAGCTTCAAGCTTCTCCTTTGTTTTATTACATCTTTCCCCCTTCATATCCTGTATTACACCTATATTACTTTTATTTTTTACAAAAGACGCATTAGCTAATAGTTTAGAATTCTTATTACTAAACTCAAAATATTTTCTTTTTAAGTATATTAAATTTCTTTGTACCTTTTCCAAATGAATTCCTTCCAACTCCTTTCTCTTTGCCTGTAATTCTATTATTGCTTTTTTATTCCTAGTTTTTATAACTATCTTTTGGATGTTATTTAGTTCCTTGAGGAATTTTTTTACAGTAGGGGGTGCAAAGAGCTTCGCCGAGGCAGGAGTCATCTGGCTGATGGGTGATGAGCTTCAAGGCAGGAGTATTCTCCAGGCTGTCAAACTCAGCGATGACAGGTCTGGGTGGTAGACCATCCCTTTGTTCAGTGTTAAGAGGTCGGAAATCAGAGGAACTCAGAATGTGTCTGTCGAGATCACAGGAGGTAAGTGAACCAGTGTTGTCTCAGCCACCAAGGAGCGATCAAGATTGCATTGGATTGGAAGTGGCGGAGCCATATTACCATCTGTTGGATGAGTAGTATCGATGGAAATAGGTATAGTAGATTCTTTGACCAGTCCATCATGAACGCATCCCCAATGGAGTCGATGTCTGCTCCAGCTCGAGAGCAAAAGATCTCGCATTTCCTGTTCGATGTCGAAGCAAAAACATCAACATCTGGAGTGCCCCAGTGTCCACAAAGCTGAAGGAAGGTTGAGTCGCTGAGGGTCCATTTGTGGGTCCTCATGTCAAGTGACTCAGATGGTCGGCCATGTAATTGTCCTCTGTAGAGATGTGCACCACAATGGGAAAGATATGATATTTGTAGCACCATTCCCATAGGTTGACTGCTAAGTATAAAAGGGACCAAGAGTGAGTGCCTCCTTGCTTGTTCACATAGTACAGGACAGTCGTATTGTCTGTTGCCAGCTGTACTACTTGTCTCTCTATAAGATACAGGAATGCATGGTAGGCACGGATGATGGCCATGAGTTCCAGATGATTGATGTGGAGTGACATTTCCTGTTTTGTCCACAGACCATGAATTCTATGATCCAAACAGTTTGCTCCCCAACCTGACAGGCTGGCATGTGTGGTGACATGCACTGTTGGTTGGAGAGCTGTGAATGGGCGCCCCACTCAAAAGTTCAACGTGAATGTCCATCAGGTGTGTTGGTCCGCTAACTCTGGTGTCACCTGAAGGTTTACAGACTCATGATCCTTGGTTGGGTCAAACAGGGAGAGGTATCACGATTGGAGGGACTGTAGTTTGAGTCTGGTCTGTTGAATTACTGACGTTGTGGATGCCATGAGCCCAAGAAGGTGTTGGACATGGCGGGCTGAAATGAGAGCTCAAGGCCGGAATGGTCAAATTGCTGTTTTCATTTTCTTTATTCTTTCTGATGGTATGAATGCTCCTGCTTGTATGGAGTCGAGGAGGGCTCCAATATAAGTGATCCTTTGGAGCAGTTCTAGCTGAGATTTGGAGTGGTTGACCTTGAGCCCGAGACTTCTTAAGGTGTCGAGTGTGATCTCTGTTGCTCGCATGGCATTGTTTGAAATGAGGAATAAAAACTGATTGGAGATGGGATGTCAGTGTTAGTACTGCTGATAGGTCTTACCTTTCTTCTGTGGCTTATGGAAGGACTGTCGTTGGTGCTGTTGACTATGCTTTCAAGAAGACGATGCTGATGTTGTCGGGATCGAAAAGGATCTGTCAGGTTGTTGGGATCGATATTGTCTGTATGGTTGGTAGTGTTGGTATTGTTGAGCTGGTTGCTGACAGTATGGTGTTTTTTGTAATGAGGCTTGTAGGGGCGAAAGGACTGCAAGTTTACATATGACTTTGCTGTTTTTCTTATTTTATGGAGATTCATC